ACACAGCGCTGTGTGGTTTTGTTAAGATCCACTAACATGCACACAGTAGGCTGTGATCATCTATTGCAACACATATTGAGCCACACCCATCACTCTTATAACACTTCGCCATTTTGTCGTCTTCCTTGTCTCTCTCGCTCTGACCAGCATTCACTGCAGGGTAACTGGGCGTAGATATTTTCCTCCTTGCACACAGACATGTACATTTAAGACAGAAGAATAAAAGAAGACATATGTTTTCATTTTGGGATATTAACTGTAACAACATACTTCCTGGAACAGGCAACCACTTAATCTGCCCAGAATGCAACTTGATTAACTCCTTTTTTCTGTCTCTCGGTCAAAACCTGCTGCTCTATTTCAGGGTATGACTGAGGTAGATCAACAAAATGAACCTGGTATAAACTGCAGCTATGGAGGGAGCTCCTCAGCACAATAGTTTCCTCTTCAGGAGTCTTGTATGGTGTTAGAGCTCCTCCAGTGGACAGAAACAGAACAGCCCTCTGTGCTGTTTCTGGGAAATCACATGATGAGTCTGTTAGGTTTTGTTTCTGTGTGCGACACAGAGATCTGGCATGATTTGCAAATTTTGACGAGCACACCAGGAAGAAAGAGAGCGCCATGGTTATTATCTTATGTGTCCCTGACAGGGCATTGATGCTGCTTGTCCTACTTGTTTTGCCACATTCCTCTGGTTAAATGATGTTAGACTGAAAAGTCATAAATAAAGTGAGTACACTCGACTCAACTCACACAACATGTAAAAATACATAAAATAGAAATGAGTTGCCTTAAGTGGTAGATAAAAACATAGGTTGTATGTGTGATTAGTGGGTCGTGCAACACTTCATTGTTTCTGACCTCTCAGCCTGGATTATACTCCTGAAAGCAACCTCACCTGTTCTCTTCCTTCTCACTAATCTCCTTTTTCTGCATTAAATTCTGCAGCTGTGCACACTCTAACCTACTGCTTATGATAAAATATCAATTGCAGGTCTTTTTTTGCTGATAAAGAGATTGAGGAAGCAAAGAAAGGACACAAGCAGACCAGACCAAGGTGGATTATTGCTTATCAGAGGGCGCCATCTACCTGCAGAAGAGAAGAACTTCTCATTGTACAGTTATTTATTACTATTTCAATCAGCGTTGATTTTATGTTCTGATAAAGGGTTTGTCTTTGAGGTTCAAGTCTATTTTGTTTTTCAGTTATAACTTTACTTTTAACTGAGCTCAATGTGGATTAATGCGGCTTTATTTTGAAATTATGACCGGAATTATATATAATGTCTGGCTACCTTGACGGACTGAAAGTGAAACTAAAATGAACCCGGAGTTGAAGGGGAAAACCAACGATCCAAACTCTGCTTTCTTTGAGAGATTAACAGCAACGAGCAGCACATCGCAGCAGAGAGAAGACATAAAACCATGACTGACTTCTCTACAATCTACAAACTGTCCCTGGTTGCAGTTTTCTGCTTCATCCAAGGTAACGTTAGGCTAATATCTGTCTTTATCTGTGGATATATTCGCTCTGCTGCGGCGCTTCCTTTATCAAATACATGAAATAGAGTATTTAGAGTTACAGAGTTTAACGCGTATGTACTTTATCTGCAGCCCGGATGCTTGTTTTCTCATTTAGACAATGAAATAACTCAAACTCAAATAATGTTAATGCGCATGTCGTTAACTGCAGTACATTTTGGGATTGTTGCTTAAAACCTTTTGTATATACTTGAGTATCATGCATCATTTCAGACAATCCAAATGTACATAAACAGCTGTCTACTATAATTTGACAAAAGACGGATCTCAGGCTGCAAAACGACTCGAACTTTAACTGTAAATTGTAATTTAATTTAAATATTTTAATATGTGATGCTTCGTGAAGCATACCCGCCGAATTTACCACAAGGTCCAGTCAAGTAAGAAAATATCTAAATTAATTTCCTAGTCATTATTAATTTCAATATTAACATAGATTACGTTAAATTATAGTATGTTTTTAAATGGAGTTTGGTTCGAAGCGCCCTCTCGTGGTGAGAATGTTACACCCACTGGTGGCGGAAGAGCAACAACTCCTGACGGTGTGTATTCATCTTAGTTAAATAATATAACTCAGACAGCCAAACTAACAGAAAATAAAAGGGAAAATTTAGGCGAAATTTCTTTCTTAGAATAACAGATCCGGACCATTTTGTCAGAATACTTGGTCAAAGTCACAGAGACACTGACATGAAAAAGTTAAACTGAAAGCAATAGTCAACACTGAAAGGAACAGTCAACCACAACTTATCTGCTTCTCAGAAGATAATCACAGTTTTTGTTTTATTTCTTACTGTCAGGGTTTAATTCCTCTAAAACCAATAGCATGTTACACTCAGTGCCAGTCCTAAGTCGTTCAGTATTTTGGTTTTTTCTATTACATTAACTACTGCAAAATGCCTTATTAAAAATAACTATGATTGATTCTGTATTAGGTTTTGAAAGGATAAAATTAGGATTGTTTGCTATATATTAGCAACTGAAGAATACTAATTGTTATTTACTATAATATCAGAATATTAGTAATAGATTAATTGTACTTTTATGCTCCTGTTTCACAGTATTTTTAAAATGATTGTTCATTTGTTGTTATATCTATTGTCCAAAGCCTGCAGCAGCAGCTGTCCAGTGTTGGAGTGCTGGTTTGTGCAGGAGAAAGTGGGTCGAGGAGGAGGTTTAACTGCAGCTACAAGCCAGGAAAAATCCCTGCTTCACATCCGAACAGACGCACACAGCCACAGTGCAGAGTCCCAGAAGGCCCCGTCAGACATCAACCCTGACAGAGTCTACTTTATTACCGGTTAGTTTAAAGTGACACACTGAACAGGATGTGTGACTGCGTGTTTATTTAGGTGTGTTTGAGAGTTATCCCCTCTGTATGTACAGTGTATCATTTTGCATACACGTGTGTGTGTGTGTGTGTGTGTGTGTGTGTGTCCATGCTCTCTGCTGTTCATTGTGTGTAGTTGTCTTTATACGATTCAGGGTTGTAATAGGGCTGCACGATACAGTAAAATCATCATATTGCAATTTATTTGACAATGTGGAGATAATCATTTTTGCCTCACAAATGTAATTTTCATTTTCAAAACTATTAATTCAAGGCTGTGAGCCTCAGAGCCTGTGCTTTTCATTAGGCTGTAGCATCTGTTGCATAATAGGTGACAATGTGAACTGTGATTTTGACTGAGTGTAACAATTATGACATTTTTGGGGTTCTGCACCAAACAACGTTTACTTAAATCGGGAGAACAAGAATTTTATATTTATCAAACAATTGCAGGTTCTGCAATTGTTTGCAAAATTGCACTCAGCCATATTGTGGCCACATTTCAAGGTTCAAGGTTAAATTTTTTTTTTTATTGCCGTTATACGATTGATGATTGTACAATGAAATGCAGTTGTAGCTCTCTTCATGTTACACACACAGAAAAGATGAGAATGAAACCATACAAAGTAAACTGTATTTACAAGGAAGATGGACAGTTACATATGTACAGAAACAGTATGTAGTATGTGCAATACCAGTTTAATATACAGTTATATGCATTTCAGAGTGAGCAGTCTCAATGGAAGGTAATTTATAAGCTTCCATAGATATATATCTTTTATCAGATATAAACTTGAATTCATAAGGAACAATTTAAAAACTGTTCTAATTTCAATCTCGTGTTTTCGTAGCCCTAATGTTTATCTTTCCATATTCTTCCTCTTTAGTTAAAGTTACTTCTCTCTTGTCAAATTTAGACAATATATAAGAGATACCTGACTCTGACTCCTCTTTCCTCAGACCCAGCTGGCACTTTCTGCCACCCCTCTCTGAACCCTCCCAGGGGCTCTGTCAAGAAGCCCCAGTGTGAGATCAACCCCTTCCTGCCGCAGCCCTCCAGCCTCAAATGGGTTGCTCCGCTCACAGACTCCGCCTTAAGCCCCATATACCTGCAAGCTGATTGGTTTTCAACTTCCCATCAGGGCCTCAACAAAGAGCTGACAATTTCCAGCATCACGCGGGCTCCCACAGCAACAAAAGAGCACAACGGTAAGACTTCATCACACAGGAGAAATAATGATATTATCTCAGTCTGTGGTAGTTTGACTCTCTCCTCCTCACTGTCTGTTTCCTCAGTGATCCTGAGTGTGACCAGTAAAACCGTCTCGGTGCAGTCCAGACTCGGGGAACCAGTAGTACTGGACTGCGGCTTCTGGGTCGACCCCTCCTCCCCTCTATCCGGGTCGGGTTTCGCCGTAGAGTGGCGCTACCAGTTCAGAGGCGACGGACGATTGGTTCTGGCTTACGATGGCAAGACGGACCGCTTGGCTGATACACAAGAAGAAGGGGCCACACTGGACTTTGAGGGTTTGCACGAGAAAGGAAACGCGTCTCTGATCCTGCAGGAAGCTAAAGTGCATCACTCCGGGATGTATATTTGTACGGTGTATCTGCCGTACCTTGTGGCTCAGGTGGCGGTGGAGCTTGAGATTGTAGGTGAGGCAAAATAATTGTTGTTGTGTGGTTGAAGACAAACAGCACTAAAATAAACAAATCCTTCTGTTCACAGGGAACCAGGTTATTATGGGTATTATTAATTTTCTCTTGTCTTTTCTCCTTCTACCCAGAACCCCCCTCCCTCTCCATCCACCCATCCCCTCTGCCCCTCGCTGTTCCCGGCCAGACTCTGACCGTCCAGTGTGAGGCGTCTGGCTTTGCCCCCCTCTCCTTGGAGCTGAGCTGGGAGTTTAAAGGCTCTGACGGGAAGTCCAGGCCTCTGGGATCAGGCAGCGTAACGGGCCACAGGCAGGCCTGGGATGGCACCTTAAGCCAGAGCACCCGGCTGGAGCTTGACACCGCTACGCTGGACCTGGGCAGAGGAGGGGAGGTCACCTGTGTGGCTGTTCATCTCGGAGGCACACGACGGGCCAGCGTGACCCTCAATGCTGTTGGTAATGTGGAAGAATTTTTGGAGTTTAAGATATTTAGTGTTCATTATGATGCAAAATAGAGTTTCTCAGCTTTTACTTCTCAGTTTTGAGTTTATAGTGTATGTTTAAGAGCCTGAGTGGTTTTAGATCGCTGATATAAGTAGCCGAACAGTGAAAATATTAATGGATGAATTAGTAAGGCAGATATATTAATGTAAAAATGACTTAAGAGGCCAAATATTATCTGGGAGTTTGGTTCATTTTGGTTCACTGCACCAGCCGTCACACTACCATACAGTGACTGGTATTCATTGGATTATTAGATTTGTTAGATTATGGTCATTTTATGTTATCAGGCAGTAAAAACATTCTCATATATGTGTGGGGATATGATTATTTTAACACACCGACAGTACTATAGTAGTATATTATGGATCTGGTGGGATATGTGACTCTAAACGGATTATTATCATCAAGCTGGACCACAAAGATGATAAAAGAAATCAATTAAGACTTAAAATATGTCTTTTGTCTTTTCAGGGTTCAGTGCTCCCTCCATTGAGGACTCCATGGCAATGGTTGGCGTAGCGCTGGTGCTCTATGGTTTAATCAAGTTCGTCTCTTGGACCTTCACCGGCTCAGGTAGCAAAAAACTCCAGAAACAATAACCTGAAATATTGATCACAATAATCATATACTGACAGTAATAACACTTTAATACTTTTATGCAGCCATTTAATTATTCCAAGCTGCAATAAGGATCACCATTTGATACAATACATACTTAAATTTAACTGAATTTAAATAGAGTTTGAAAAAATATGTTTAGTATGCTACAAAGACTGTATCACCTTTAAATAAGATATTTCAATTTAACTTCTGTATCTGACTTTTTGTCTTTTATCTCACTGTACATAGACTCGGATGAGGCTGATAAACAAGACAAGGTAACAATACTCGAATACTAAAACACAAAATGTATAATTCTGAATGTCTTTACATAAATTTACTACTTGTCCGCTTCAATTTTATAACCTTGGAGCTGCTCTTGGGTGTTTTACACATCTCCTCTCAATAATAACTTTCTACTTCTTCCACTTACAGAAAGTCAAGTAAAGAAGAACAGAGTCAACTTCAGTGGACGTACGATACTGAAACAACAAACCTTTCTGTTTTAATATCTTTGACGATGTTTCAGGAGTGACTATCCGCCGTTTCATTCAGACAGCTACATATGTTTTTTAAATGTCGTGCGGGGATCTGTTCTGAAAAGGGCTTCTGCTCAGTCTAAACTTGCATGTTGTGATATTTCTTTTGATTTTCCACTTTAAAGCGATATGGCTCTTGTCTCATTTTGGCCTCTAACTGTTTAAATGCTGTATTAATGTATTTTCTCGTGAACACTGGAAAAAGGTCAGAAACTTGGAGAAAGTTGATAATGATGATATGATGAAATATCAGCTTTGATTTGGAGATGTTTTTTATCTTTGAGAGACCAGGAATGAACCTTTGTGTGTGTGTGTGTGTGTGTGTGTGTGTGTGTGTGTGTGTATGTGTGTGTGTCTAAGAAACAGAAAGAACTAAAACAGCTTTTGTAAATGATCCAGGACAGTAAAATTAATATTAGACTAAACAGTTCAAACCCACAAACTGAATCCAATTTTTGTAAATAGAGAGAATATAATGTTTGTATATTGTGACTTTTTTTTGCCCCTTGTTGGTAGGAATGATGAAGAATTAAACTTACATAGAAATGTGAAGGAAATGGTACAAAAACAACACATTTGTCTACTTAAAATAAACAATTAAAAACTTGAAAACAGAATTTCAAAATCATAAGCAAAGTCTGGATTGTTTAAGTGAAATAAACACATTTCTCAAAACATGCTTCCCTCAGTATTCTGTTTATTAATGACTGTGTTGTCTTAAACATGCTGTACCACATTTAAAACAACCTGAACATGCTCATATTTACATTTATGACAAGAAAATAACTCTTTTTAAATGGATATAATGTATCAGAGTATTATAATAGAGTGTAATGGTTGTGTTGGTGTGGTTTTTGCTATCAAGTTTAAATTAAAACCTTCATACTGCAACATTTAACACACTGGTAGTATAAACATTAACTGTGACTTCCGTTGTCCTTTTCAAAATAAAAGCACGTACAGTTTTGTTTTGAAATGTATTGAATACCTAACTGAAAATATGTTAGATTCTAAATATACAGACGTAATACAAAGTAGAAATATTATATAAAGATGTTAAATCTCAAGAAACTCGTCGGATATTCGCGATTTAAGAGATTAACTACGGTTTTTTTTTTTTAAATTGTCAATATATTTTTCTCCTCATGTCTTGAATTTAACTTAAAATCGTTTTTGTAATTTTAATTGTAGTTTTATTAATGTTATTCCCCGAACGTTGTCAAATCGATGTTTTAAAATAAACATAAATAAATAAATATATCAGAACGTTAGACCTGATCAACGGCAGCCAACGGGAGGAGCTCAACCAATGGCTAACGACCTTACTGAGCGTCAACCACGTATCAACCAATCAGAGGCGTCGATGCTCGTACGACTTTAGCGGGTACACTTTCGATCTCGAGTCGCCAGCACAATCAAGTTAAGGAGCATTGTTTTGGTAAACAGAAAAGTCGGTGGGATTAAAAAAATACGGCACAGCGTGAACCCGCGGGATTGTTTATTTAACAAGTTAAACAATAATAAAAACAACAACATGCGCGCTCGTTGTTTTCTTACTTATCACCAAGCTAACTGACTAGCTCCCTGATGCTAATGCTCGCTAACTCTTCATTATGCGCCGCGGAGGAACATTTTCCTCTTTTGTTTTCTCGTCAAACAGCTGCTGAACAAGAGGTCTGTATGTGTGAGTGTGTCCTTTAAATGTGTGACAGCTCAACGCCTTTCTGTCTCGCAGATTATCTTGTGTGTCTACTTCTAACCATCTGTGTGTGATACACTTTGTCATCATGTCTCGATCAGTTTCACTTCCCAGTTCAGGTATTTTTATTCCCTGACTGTTTGTTTTATTTCTTAAACCACACACACACACACACACACACACACACACACACACACAAAAGTGTTTGTGTTGGAGGGGTTGTGTGCTTTTCCCCCTGACTGATGGAGCAGTGTTTGGTTAAACTCACATTATGATCGTGTGTCTGTGTGCTGGTGCATTGTTGTAATCTGTGTGTGGGAGCTTTGTTTAGGGCTGCCATTAACTAGTTATCTTCATAGTTGGTTACTACTTTATCAGCTAATCTGGTAAACATGTAGTCAGAGTAGGGATGGGACGGTGTGTGGTATTATCGTGATATTTGTGAGTCGGGATAATCGTGAATATCCTCACAGGGTTTGACTTTAAAAAGCTGTCCAGCTCACCAGCGTACTGTCCAATATTGGTTTCCTCATTTATTTTGAACAAAGAGGATCCTGCATCTTTACAAAATCCTCAGCCTGTCACCACGGCTGAAGACTCGTCCTGAACGTTATATCCCACACATCGTTTAATTAAATGTCTGGAAATAGTCTAGATTCCAGAATAAAGAGCAGGAACATGAGGTAATAAATATCTTTTTCTTTATGAATTGTAAAGAAAAGAGATTCCAGTAGTGCGATTTTAGAAGTATGTAGTATATTTTCATGATTATATTGTGTATCGTGTATCAGTTAATCACCAGAAATGTAATCGCCAACTATTTTGATTATCGATTAATCATCTTTTCAGGCACAAATGACAGAAAGTTTCTTCAATTTTGGACTGACAATGCAAGACATTTAAAGACATCACCTGGACTGAAAACTGAATGGACATTTGTCACTATTTTCTGTCATTATATATTCAAAATGATTAATCTATTAAACATGTTCAGATCATCAATAAGACAAAGAATAGCTCCAAATATTGAATTTTGAGACTTTTATTTAGACTTCTTTTCTAATCCACTAATTAAGATATTAGGGGGAAAAAGTATTGTCTTGGTATTGGTACCAAAACTTGGGTACTTTATTGGCGTGTTTATTCACCTGGTCTGTTTTTACTTGAGGGAACACACTGTTGTATTTCTCAGCATGAGAAGAACCTACGCATATTTTATTCCTGGTTATTCCTGATCAACGTTCTCCCCGTTTGTGTTTTCTGAAAACAGAAATAACCAACTCTTTGGATGGCGGTTGCTCCCGCCTCGATGGCAGATAAGATCATAGTCCTAGATGATGATGATGAAGACGAGACTCCTCAGCCCTCCTGCTCTGCATCCACCTCGTCCTCTAAGCATCAGTCCAAAAATGTCTCGTCACTCAGAGCCCAGCAGCCCGTCCCTACCCACATCACCCAGTCACCGTTCGCCTCAGCGAAGAAGCAGACGCATGTTCTGCAGGCAGAGAATCAGAAGTTGTTCACTGAGGTGAGCTAAGGGCACAAAGTGGCTGGTCATCCTTAACTATGTATGTTGTTGTTGCAATTATATTAACAAAATATTGGAACTGGGTGTAAACAATATGCTTATTATTATGTATTCCTATTATTTATTTCTGCCTCTTGTCCTTCCTCTCTCCCCCTGCCTTCTCCCCCTTCCTGTTTTCTTCATCCTCCCAGTTTGTTGAGTACTGCTCAGCTCTCACCCAGGACTGCCCCGAGGTCTTGACCTTCCTCCAAACGAAGCATTCCAAGGCCTGCCCCGAATATTTGTCATCTGTGGAGTTCAGGAACACGTTGGGACGATGTTTGACTCGCACCCAGGCCAACCGTTCCAAAACCTTTGTCTACATCAATGAACTGTGCACTCATCTCAAGCAGAATGCCGCCAAGAAGAGGCAGATCCTCACCAAGGTTGAGTCTGGGCCTTGTACCTCAACATCAAGCTCTTTCCAGTCTACCTCTGTTACGCTCAAAAGTAAAGACAAGACTAAAGTTGAGAAGGAAGGAGTGAAACCTGGAGCGGAGGATAAGCAACCTTCCACCTCAGGGCTGCAGGAGGGCGGGGAGGACAAAACAACTGAGGAACAGGAAGTGGAGAAAAAGGCAAAGAGGGCATCCAGGAAACAGGTTAGTCACTACAAGTTGTGACTGGAATTATTTTTGATGGTTGACGAGCTATAATTTAGCTGCTGAGTATACATTTTTATTTGTATGGCTCTTTTTAAAAGGTTGCTTCAATGTTTATGAAATTTTCAAAGTACGACAGAAAATAAAATCACAGAGAGAGAAAAGGAGAACTAAAGTATGAAAGAGTAATACTAAAATCACAGAGAGAGAAAAGGAGAACTAAAGTATGAAAGAGTAATACTAAAGTCCACCAATAACACTGTACAGTATGCGTCAATAAAGCAGAGTCAGTGAATAAAGTTGTAATGAGGTAGATATAAAATTAGATATTAACTATCACAGGCCACATTGTGATGTTTTTTTTCTCTTTCTTCTGTTTCCTTTCATTCTTGACAAAAACTGACACAAAAGCAAACACCTTAACCTTTATGTCTGTTTTCAATCTCTCTCAGATAGCGTACCTGGAGAACCTACTGAAGGTGTACAACGATGAGATCCGGCGCCTTCAGCAGGCCGAGCTGAGTTTAGACGACCTGGGAAATGAGGAATCTTTATACATCCAGGAGCACAAGCTCAAACGCAAGGTCAGGCCTGAGTATGATGCAGTTTGGGGGCTCCAGTTGTTATAAAGAGGGCTGAAAGCTGTGAAAAGAACCATTGCACCAGTTTGTGGGACATTTAGTCACACCTGTCCTCTTCTTCTTTTCCAGATGATGAAGATTTATGAAAAACTGTGTGAACTAAAGGGCTGCCACACACTAACAGGTCGAGTCATTGAGCAGAGGATCTCCTACAATAGCACTCGTTATCCTGAGATCAACAGGAGGGTGAGCTGGTTGTTGTTGTTTTAAATGGTTTAATAATTGTCCTCTAAGCTGGGTAATTAGTGTGACTGGGTCAACTTGTCTTATTCTGTCTGTGTCACAACCAGGACTACACGCCTCTACTGTCTAACATGTTGAATCTTGAATTGAACTGAACCAGTTGCAGACCTCGATCTTGCATGAACACCAGTATTATTACTATCAGCAGAATTTGATGCCATTTCAAAACACTTAGAGAATAATACGAAACAGGACTTTTATTCGTATTATATCAATAATTTTATTTTATATCCGCTTAAGAGTTTTGAACCTTCAGTATTTGTTTTACGGACGGTCTAAAGCAGCTGTGTGGCTATGCATTGGTTGTTTTTCACAAGAACTATACTACTAAAATATACATTATTGGTTTAAATGATTAGTATCTAATATAAAATATCAGATATAACCTTATTATCTGCAGAGATTGAGACGTTGAGCTCAGTCTCCCAAAAGTTTGTTGTGCAGTGTGTAATCCGCTGTTGCAGCGTAGCGGGAGGTGCAGGCCTCACTCTCTGTAACTTAGGGCTCCGCTGTTTAGGAACCCAGCTGCAGGTTGAGCTCCCAGGTGACTCTGTGGAAGCAGCTTGGTTGCTGAGCAGATGAGGTCTCCGAGCCGGTCTGGCGGTCTCGATTCTGGGCCGCAGAGAGAGATCCTGGCTGAAGCACTGCTGGCACAGTTTGCTGGGAAAACGACTCCAGTTGAGTCCTTGTGATGTTGTGCCCGAATTACTGATAAAATGAATCTGATTAAGTCAGCTACAGTAGATAATATAATGTTATTATAAAAAAGCCAGAAAGAATAATTCTTCAGTTTGGTACTGAGGCACTCAGAGGCTTGTTTGGAACCAACATGGCGGCTTCTCCTCCGTCACATACTTCAATACATCACTATGGTCACTCAGTAGTGAGTCTAATATCAAATTGCATCCACTAAGGTTTACATTAATGGATATTATATATTATATAACATCACTTCATATTTCAAAACATCGTTCAATCATAATATGCCCGACTACTTCACTATCAGAAACATAAATTCAGTACTACTTAATATATGGCAGAAGGTTAAACAAGACTTAGTTTGTTTATGTAATAAAGTATAAAAGACTGAAGTTGTAGATATTTCTGTCACTAGAAGGCAGCTCATGGTAAATAAGATTGCGAGAAATAATATTTAATCCATCCTCTTGTCAGATCGAGCGGTTCATCAACAGTCCCGAGGCACAGAGAAACCCTCCGGATTACCATGACATCCTCCACCAGGTGCTGCGTGCCAATGAGCGCCACAATCTGTGCCTGAGCAGAAAACAGCTGAACCAGATCGCCCAGGAGGCTTTCAGGGAGACCGGGAGCCGCATACAGGAAAGACGTCACCTGGATTTGGTGTACAACTTCGGCTCACACCTCACTGACCCCTACAAGCCTGGTAAGGCTTCTGTCTGAAGGCTGCTGTGTCAGAATATCAGTGCAAAATATTCTCTGGTTTGGACAAACTATGCCCCTGAGCATTCATTCAGTGTCCTGTGGAGCATGCTAGTATGGAAAGAGATGTGAAAATGTACAGGTCTTCAAGGCTTTAGAAGTTGTTGGCATTTATTTTGGTCTGTTAGTAAGTACAAAACATTTTTAATCTCTTTGTCTCTGTGCCCACCACCCTCTGAAGCCACAGACCCGGCTCTGTTGGACCCCTCGCTGCTGAAGAGGCTTCGGTCGAACAGAGAAGTGGCTCTGTCCCGCCTGGAGGATGTTATCACCAAGTACGCTGTCAAACAGGAAGACACGGAGGAGCAGGAGAGGACCAAACGACTGAAGAAAGACAGCAAGGAGAAAGAGGTACGAGACGATCTGGGGAAGGAGAAAATGATCACAGGGTTCCTCTGCTTTCACTGTTTCACATGTTTTTGGTTTCATATTTATGGATAAAACAAGAATCCCTGTGACAGAATATTTTATCCAACTTTTAATTTAATCTCCTCAACAATATTACAAATTACATAAAGATAGTCTCAGTTTTGGGGGGGGTCATAAAGGTGTTAATTCAATTAGATGTTGTAGCATTGAGGTCATATTTACTGATGGTGTCGTACTAATGTATTCCACAACAACACCACCTTTAACTATGGCCAATAATAAACATATAATTTAATTTACACGTTTCCAACAATGTCACCAGATATAAGTGGCTGCTCAGTTTGCTTGTAAATGATCTACCTCACAGCAAGTTGATTTTCATACATATGTTTTGGGAACTTTATGTGACGAACAACAGATCCTGCTTCTAACAGTTCTGTTGTTGTTTTCCATTTTCACATTTGACACTTCCTTCCTCTTTACCTGGCCAATCTGGTCCTGTCTGATCCTCACACATCTTATTTTCAGGACCAGAAATCCGAAAAGGGAGAAGAAAATAAAGAGGCGAACGGAGTGGCACAGGAGGAGGAGGTGGAGGAGGAGGAAGAAGAAGAAGTGGAGGAGGAGGATGATGAAGAAGATGAATCATCAGACCCAGACATTGAGGAAGAGATCCAAGCCAGCACTCAGCAGGATGGACCAGGTTAGAGCCGAGATATTAGTTCATACATTGTTCAAGTTTTGGGTTTCTTTCCACCTGCGATTCAGTTTCATTCAACAGTAGACGAGCTACATGTGGAAGAGGCTTGTTAATGACGTAGTCTATGAAAAATGTTGGTTTACTGGCTCTGTATCCACCGTGTCCATCAGATAACGCCACTCTCTGTGTTTCTCTGCAAAATGCTGTAACGAGTCGGCGGCCCAAGTAAATCTAAAAAAGACTAAATAAAATTTTACATTTATTTTACTCCACAGGAAAGTATAACCTATAAAATGCTCTGCTTGGAATTATTTTTGTTTCTGATATGTTTTTTCAAAAAGATTCCTCCCTTTAAAGTCTCCCACATTAAAAAACAGAATTTATGAATTCTTCTTTCAAAAGTTTACCTGCTGTAAAGACCATTGTCAGTGTGTCTGCCCTGGAGGCTTCACTTTTCCACATCAGACTTGTGTAAGTTACATGTTGCACAATGATTGGCTTTCAAACTTATTGTGATGTTATAAAATCAGGCTCTTACGTCCACCCCTTAAACTGACTGAACGAGAGCTCAGAGAAACTTTCCCCCTCTTAGCAGTTGAACTTGAAAACAGTCTTCCACGTTTCACCCAATAAATCTGTATCATAAATGACAACCAGACAAGAGTGGCACAGACGAGGAGAAAAGATTTAATTGCATTTATTTTGTTGTTTTACAGACGATGATAACGAGGAAGACGGTGACAGTAACGAGGCCGAACAAGCAGGTGATGATGCCAACAAGGAGGATCAGACAGAAGAGGTGTCAGGAGACGAAGGAAGCGTGAAAGATGAAGAGGAGGAGCCAATCACAAGTGGACTCAGTCCTCTTTCCGATGAAAGCAAATCGCAGATATCTCCACTGTCGGACATGCCCTCCCCTAGACACAGCCCCACCCAGTCAGAGCCAATGCAGACCGACAACCAGACGCTGATGTCTAACGGTAACCTCGCAGGATTAGAGGAGCCTGTAGATTCCTCCAATCATGTTTCAGTCGTACTGGTAACCACCACCAAAGTCTCTAAGGACTCTGCAGACGTCTCCCAGGGAGCAGCCAATGGGGTGCCCCTGTCACCGGTCGTCATTGTAGAAAAATGTGGCACACAGACTAGCAACGGCACGTCGCCACCTCCCAGCCCCAGAACCACGAGGAGCCAGAAGAGGAAGAGGGAAGACATTACATCAGGGAACTCCCGAAATACAAAGCACACAATCATCCATGACAGGTACAGTTGGCCAGTTTCAGTTTCATAAATTTGACAAAGCAAAAAAAAACTACTATAATACTGCAACAAGCTCAGTGCTTATACAATGAAAACAGACAGATACTTCACTATTGGAGCACATCTGGATTTCTTGATTTGAATTATTGTTGCTTGTATAAAATGTTAGTTGTATCTCTAATATACTTCAGTTGATGATAATATTTCTAATGGATTTTCTTCTATCTCTTTATTTCTCTCTTAATTCTCTCTCCCCTCATCCTACTCTTCATCCATCCATTGTTCCCTCCGCAGTGAGGTCGATATCCCTCTGGACATGGGTGTTTTAAGCTGCAATTCTCCGCAGCAGGCGGAGTCGACACGGGCAGACACTCCAACACAGGAAATTGTCAGCAGTTCACAGTCAACACCTCCTCCCAAGAAAAACAAGGTGGGGTCACAGAGATTGTTAATTAGAAGAACTTAGGTTACGTACGGCCATTAATGAAACTGAAAACCTGGATCACAATCCCATTTCTAGACTTTTTATTTATTTATTTATGGAAAATTGTTCCTCTTTTTTGTGTAGACTTGATCTAGTTTACAACTTTGTGTCTTGTTTTATACAGTATGTAGCTAAAGAAAGTAAAATCAATCATCTCTTATGTCTCAGTCTGTTCAAGTCTTATCTACATTAGCAAAAGTATTGTATCATGGTGTTTATATCACAGATTGTGATACAGTAAAGTCAAATTTCTCATAAAATCGAAGCTGATTAGTTTTAGGGGTTCTGTACTGTTACCTGAGATTCTTCATCTGAAAAACGAGTTTCTTTAAAAAGGAGCTAATTTGTTTCTTGTTGTTTCCTGCTACAGCTTCCAAAAATCAAAAGATAAAATCCACACCAACTAATGATTATGCTTATAATGACAATTACATAAACAATAAAATAACATTTCAGTTCTTGCAAATGTCTAATTTAAAAAAAGAGGATAAAAAGTATAATTTACATAAATATTAAAGCAGAATTCTTCCTCCCAGAATTACTAATTTAATCCAGTTTACACCTGTTTAATATTCAGAATAGATAAAGTTATGAATTCAGATTTTCTTAAAAAGGAACAAACAAGAAAAAGATGAGCCCTGATCACATTGTACTAATTGTTATTGTTATTGTTATTGTGAGAGCATTTCCTAACGGCTCCTCTGTTTTTCTGTTTGCAGGTCAACGTGGCCACTCAGTGTGACCCAGATGAGATCATCGTCCTGTCAGACTCTGAATGACCTTTGACCTCGCTGGTCGCTGTTCTGCAAGATTCTTCCACGTGTCACCCGTATTCTGGGACCGATTGCTGAAAGCATGCATTTCTAAGGACCATCTTTGTCTGCTGGCTTGTAAAAAAGGAGAAAAGGCTCTTTTTTTCTTTACAATTCCAAATTGTGAAATTGCCGGATGTGATCGAAACAGTCACTATCAATAAGTTTTTACCAAAATAAACAGCAAGCTATGGAAGCCAGGGAAAACTATGAATTTAGTACCTCATGTCACTTGATTACATATAACCAAACAAAAGCAAAGATGTTTTTGTAAAGGACTTAAATAAAATAATTGTACGCCAACATTTGAAAGAAAGCTGCTTTCACAGGACATGATTTCGGGAGGAAATCCTGATGTGTGCGCCGCAGAATACAGCTGTCATTTTCTCTAAGCAGACATTGGCTGATGTTGACCTCGGCTGTCTTCTCTCCCGTTTTGGGTGCAGATTGGGTAAAGATCAGTTTTTATGTGATCCAAGCAGCCGAACGTCTGTTGCCGTGTTTCCTGCCTTCCAGTGTAACACTGCTAAACCTCCAGTTGGTAGTAGGATTAAAATGAGTTTTTTGCTGCTCTGAACACAGAGAGCTAAAAAACACTTTTCTTGGGATAAATTTCCATTCACTTGAACTTTTGTTAGTGTGGTTATGTAAGAAACCAGTGCCTGAAAACATGAACTGAGCAGTTGGACGCGTGTCCCAGACGGGGAGTTTTGTTTTCACAGACACTCGACTGGCGAGCGCCGCGTTACCGCCAGTTTGTTTACATTTTTATATTTCAGTCGCATTATTTCAGGAGGTGAAAGTGGTGATCTGTATAGAATAATCTTGAGATGGCATTGTTTTATTTGCTGTTGCTATTTATGCATTGGATTAGTGAGCTGTGTGATGGTTTGTACTGTTAGCGAGATGTGTGGACTGCAGCAGTGCTAACGGAGAATATTGACATTTTTGAATTTTTCCTTTTATGTTTCCAAACATTTTCTATTTTTAGGTTTATAATAAAGCAAGTTACTATTTCCATTCAGACCGATGTCTGCTTCAGGATAGCTGAATAGTTTCCAGATAGATATTGCTTTGAACGAGGAATCCTGACTAGCTGATTCACAAATGTTTAAAGAAAAATAAGGATAGAAATATTTTAACTTTTTCATAGAGTCAACAAATCACATTAAAAGACCACAACTACTGATGAACTGTCTGTATCCAAAGCCTGCTATTTATTATTTCTCTTTGCCATTAAGCACATTGTTGTCCACACACTATTAAAAACACAAGTGAGACATGTTCCTTCATTATAATGAACATGTGCTCACACATACATCCTCCTGCTGCTGGAAATACTCATATAGTCCCAAATAAATGCACACTTTACTCCTTCTTGAATCTCTTTTGCTACAAACTACACTATCCAGCTGTTTTAGGAAGTTACGGAGTCTTTTTTTAAAGTGAAATAATATATTTCTGATTCATTTTTAAAGAGTTATGTCTTCAGTAGGAACCAGTGGGCTGAGAGCAGCGTGAGGAAGCTGGAGAGCAGTGAGAGATGGACTTACACATTGTTGGTTTTGGTCTTTGCATGGGATTTGTTGATATTAAGAAAGATCTAGAACAAAGCCAGTCTTACAGTTCAACTCGCTATAAGACAGAAATGTTTCTCCATGATTATGACACGTCTCAAAGGAAGTTCTGATTGAAGCAAAGCGTTGAGTTTCTCCATGATAATGATGAATTCTACCTGTGCCTCTGCCCAGCCCCGAGAACTACATTTATTCAAGTGTTTGTCTAAATCCAAACAAATGATACAAACGTGGCCCAGTTAAAGATCCAAAACACCTGAGTCTAAATCTCCTCAACAAATCTGAATGTTCATAAACGACATTCTCCAACAAACTCTCATTATTAAAGTCTTTAGTGCTGCTTTTACATTTGTGTTCCCCCCTCTGTCGATACGCTGGGATAAATTTAGACATTAAAGTTGAAATTCCTGCTTCCCTGCTGTATTTAGTATTAAATGTATTTCTTAGCTGTTGTTCCAGGCAGGTTTGGACAGTGTTTGCAACTGTGTATCACGCCCTTTATTTAAACTACGAGTTGTTCTTATGTAATAGAGCACTGGTATGTAAACCCCCTGTTTTTGTTTTCTCCCATTATTATTTTTTTTAAATTAAAGGACACGGGTGAAATAATATTTTGGGGTAAATTCTCTTTTTAAAGTTACCAGAATGTAAACCTGTAATGTAGTTATCGTAGCTACGACCTATCTGGCCTGATTTATGCAGAGGAGTGATCCATCGTTCACTGTGAATCTTTTCTTTTTCATTTTTGATAAAAAATAAATAATTTTTTATATACAGCCTCTGTGTTGCTGATTTGGATTTTTACTGGTTCTTGAATTAAATATATCGAATACATTTTTACAGTGTGAGAAAAATCTGTCTCTTCAGAAAAGGCTGCAATTATTTTTTTTTTACTGGTTAAATGTAATTTTAGAGCAGAGAGTCTCCTCTGCTGGTTGATATCGTCACAGATGTTTTAACCTCTGAAGCTTATTTATAGTCGTAGCTATAGCTGCATCGATCCCCTCCACCAGATCGGTATCGCCCCCCTGTGGGCTACTGACTTTATTTGGTTATCGTGTAATGTGCCTGATCCCCAAAAACATTACAAATTCTGTTGTGAGAATGAATGAGTTGTTTTCAAATTCAGTGTTTCCACTATCAGTCAATTTATTCCATCCATAAAACCTGAACGATCTCTGTCCTCCTATTATCTTACATACAGACTTAAAGAGTTCCACACAGTAGGCAGTCACTGGCACTGGTGTTGTATCGGCACTCTGTATCAGCCAATACAGAGAGTTGTGGTATCAGGAGGGTTGGAATATGAATGTATTGTTAATCAATAGTAATAATGTTTCTGTTGCACAGCTTCAGGTAGCAATCAGACAGAAATTAAAGACAGACATTATTCGCACCAAATCATTTATTAATCCTTTATTTTGATACAGGGCAGAGGTGAATATTGATGTACTGTTGTTTATTACATTATTAGTACCACTCAGGATTTACATAAAAATGTCTATTGACAATTTTTCTGTTCAACAATCAACTGGTAGTTTGTGGAATGTACAAAAATAATTAAAATACCTCTGAGCTCTCCACACTGGTCCTTCCACTTACTTTCTCTTGGAGGAACGTTTAGCTCTTCTCTCACTCAGACGAGAGGTGGTGCAAGAGGAAACATGGAGTTGTAGTTTAGAGTTGTTTTAATAGTCTGTTGTAGGGAAACTATAAGTTCTTCAGTGTGTTGGTGAAGCTGCTGGAGAACCCAATGAACACCACATCCATCATGTAAATTCACTATTTAGGAGGACACCAAAAGGCAGTCAAATAACAGGGAGCTTAGACGCCATAAAACAAATAAAAAACATGTGTTTGCCATAAGATGCACTTGATGATTTAGGACATTTTAAACTTTTAGAGATGTGGAGGTGGTAAAACAAGATCAAATAATAACACTTTTTAATATACAGTTTTTGTATTTGCACTTCCTTTAGGATTTCCACTGCACAGACCACATGTTGAGGTTTTATTGATTATTTGAGGGATTTGAATTGTATATATTGTAAATTCTTGCAGTGCACATTTGCACATCACAAACTGTAACTGTAAATGTAAACTGCTGGCCTTCGCTTCCTGTGTGAGTTGACATGAAGTCTGTAGATGTTGTAGCCTGAGCGCTGCAGAATCTAACATCAGGGCTGTTAGTGACGGAGGAGAAACCTCCATCTCCTCTTTTTATTAATTATTCTGTCTTTCTCGCTCAGCACAAGTACAGACTAAGAATCCACACACTTCTGATTGAGCCTTCTCTGAACACAAAACACCTCTGTCTCTTCGTGTGTTCTGTTTGTTGTACAATAAAAACACAAATAAATGCGTCATCTTCTTCACGTACATTCACTCTCAGTGAGTTAATCTTTACAAACGCTTTACAGAGTTGGCACACTTCAAACGTGTTTAACTCCACACTTAACAAAAGCATCTGATCACCATTTCACTCCACATTCTGCTCGTACAATCATCCAGCGTCATTATCTGCAGCTGTTCAGCAAACAAACAGGCACAAATTACCCACAAACACAACTGAAGTCAAAGAGGAAACGCTGGAGGTCACACCTCACAGATCACTGAGCACATACAAAAGCCAACAACCCTTTCACTTAGTCTGAGCCCCAAACCTGCATACAAAAATATCCAAACCCAGCCTTCACAGAAGGTAAAACATTCAGATCCTGTTCCTGCTCTGTGTGACTCAACATGTAAAACGTCTCTGAAGGCATGGAAATGTTTGAGAGGTCATATTTCTTCCACCACCAGCTGTCCTGTGCTGTAGCCACACTGGCACACTGAAGCGTTACACAGTTTTGGTTAAAGTATGTTAATCAATAACACAGATACATATCTTCCTAAACACACATGGTAATCACGTTACATTATCATAATCCCCTTAATCACAGTGCCAACCTTGGCCACAAGGGGGCACTCATCTGAAAGCTGATGAAAGAAACATTAAATTAATGGCTGCTTGACTTATTATTTTTTTTAATCACAAATGACACTTTACTTTCATAAGAAACCTTATTTTCTACCATATTTGTTCAATTCCAATGTCGTTCTTTTAAAATGGGCCGAGATCTTACATTTAGGTAACATCAGAATGAGGCACACATCACATTGTTAAAAATAATGACATAATCAAAAGTATTTTAGTAAGCAACAATGCACAAAGTGGTGTCCAGATTTTAAAAAAACAACCCACAGTTTAAACTGCTTCTATTAATTTTCTGTCCTCTGTTTGGCAATAAGTAAACAGCTCCCCCTGGTGGAGATTGGTGTGAAGTTAAATGTGAAGTTTAAGGATATCTGAATGTGTTACATGAGGAGGTGATTGGACAACTGGATGACCAACTCAAAGGCAGAAAGTATTTATAAAGTGTCTGTGTATCTTATCAGTAGTTGTACCGGTTCATTATGGTCCCTCAATGCATCACACAGTGTTTATATTACTCTACTACAGTCCCAGTATAGATGCAGCACAGAACTAACTGTGTGTTTTACACAGAAGAGAACATGAGGTTACATTTCTATGAGGTTCAAAGTAAACAAACTGACCTGTGTTTCAGTTTAGGCATCTTAAGAGCAACTTGATTTTGTTTCATTGTGAGTGAACAGTGATGAATTTCAAGTCCTTTCCCCAAATATGTATTCAGCAGTGGTAAAAACATACTAGTGTTTCTATTATTATTATTACTACTGTTGTTAAGAATATATAATTGTTTATAACATAGTAATAAAATCACTATAAATAATCATTTGACTATTATTTTATCTGAACAGAAAAAAATCCAAAGGTGTTAAAATTACAACAATATAGAGAAAAATGTCAATTAACAAATTTAACCACAAAATGTTTAATATTTCCACCTGAAAACTGTCGACTAATCATTTAGAAGTTTTACAATAACTACTATTAGTCCAAATTTAGAAAATGAAAAAAGGAAATACAATATCAGGATGTTTGACGTGTCTGATATTTACTAGTTCCTTGTTACTTATTCAACAATAATAAGTAATAATAACTTTTACTCTCACACAAAACTGTATCTGTCCATCGGAACTTCTCAGAGAACTAAACCAATCTTTAGCTTATATTTTAAACTAGTGCTTTCTTTATAACAAAGTACCTGGACTATTACCACATTCACATCAGGACCTAAACAGGAAGAAGTGTCAGACTAAAACCACTGCTGATAAATACGAATGAGTCTGTACTTCTATTGTCAGTAAAGAAATAACATCTCTCTCAGTATGTCCAAACTCTTGGGAGGTCGGGAACCTGAATGATACAATAATGCTTTTAAAATGATTGCAGGGAGAAAATACTGGAACCCAAAAACAAAGTAGGAAATGAAATGTGAAGAACTCTTCATGACAAAATGTTGTGAAAAGAATAAAACAAATATTTGACTCATTTGTTTGCAGCAGCTACTGAAAACATCTTTTCATTTGGGTCCATAAGTTGAGAGTTAGAGATTAAAATCTACTTGGTCAACCATTCAGAGGAGGTATGCTTGTAAACACACTATACACTGTATAGCTTAGATAAGACCGCCACCTACGATTAATACTCTTCATTGAAATGAACGTTATCGAAGAAATGCAACGACTTTTTTAAGGAACCTGCAGAACACTTCCTCTCCTCCTTTCCAAAGCAGACCAGACGGCAGCAAACGCGTCAGTATTACAAGTTAGTATTTGTTCCAGGTCTGATGAGTAAACGACATATATTTCTATATATTTACAGTGATAATATACTTCTCAAAGCACGAGAACTCTGTGAACGACAAGAAAGTGAAAGCAGGTAACAGCAGCAGAACTGAGAGCACCTTGGTGGCTTCTGCTGCTGCGTAGATTTGAGCTTATCAGTTAAAGGTAGTGTTTACGTGGGACTGGACCATATTGGGAAAGAGCAATTTCACCTCGCTCCTTCCACAACCAGACATTAAAGTGAATCTGAATGAGGCTCCCGAGCTCACCGTCTCCCTCCCTGTGCACATGTCTGGGATCTATCAGGCTTCCCTTGTGATGAGGATACATGTTTGTGCCTTTTACTGTAATCCAGAATGTGTTTCAAGCAAAGCAGCACCGTAATATCGTCTACACAATATGGCAGTTAGTCAGTTACATGGGATAAAGATGTACCACTGCTGCTGTAAGCAAAAAAAACACACATCTGCAACTTCAGCTTGTTCTTTTGTCGAGTTCTTCTCTTGCAGATATGTGTTTTTTTTCCTTCTTCATTTAAATCAAACGTCAGTGATACATTACGATACAATACTGCAGAAAATCACAGCAATTTAGAACAGCCATTTTTCTACTCTACTGATACTATAATGTCGCCACAGAAGGTAACAGTTAGTGAAGCACTGTCTTTTCATTTTTGGTTTCCTCTCGTCGCGCACAGCATTCTTCCACAAAACCAAAAAAATAAACTTTAGTAACATCTCGGATATTTAAAACAATAGCTTACTCGCTGAGACAAAAGGTCCATTTTTAATGAGGCCACTTTTCGGAGGCAAGTTTCCTTAAGTCTTTGCGGTACGAGAATTGAGGATAATGTAAGATGGCATCAGCACGACCACAAGTCTATTTCAGAAACTTCACGGCACAACAGTCGACTGGAATCTCAAAGTCCCATTTTTCTATAAACACTTACAGGTCCTTCAGGTTGTGTGTCCAACGGGAGCCTCGCCTTTGTTCCCCACTCTTGACAAAGCACGCAGTTCCTGCTTGAAATGCTGAGGGTTGGCAGTTAGAAGTGTTTCAGAAGAGCACTGCGCTCCTTCCAAGTTTCCTGTATTGTAAAAACAGCAGCAGGAACGAGAAGCACGACTGTTTGCTGAGAAAGAGGCGCCCGTTGGACATGACACACAGTTTTGGTTTAAGTCACGCTACTATCATTGGCACTGACTTCACACACGTCCTCATCACACACACTTCGACCCAACCCTAAACCACCAAACATCCCTGATCCCTGACCTGAACTCTGAGAGACGACCCCTAGGAGCGGCCCTGTGGCGGCCATGTTGTTGCTCAGAGCAGCATTGCCGCTGTTATTCAGACTGTTACTGCTGCTACTTCCTGTGGCCGAGACGCCGGGGTGCTGCGGCGACAGAACGGAGCCGGAAAGATGCGGAGAAGAAACGGACAATCCTCCTCTCCCTCCTCCTCCTCCCAGATGGCCGCCCTGTCCCCCCTCACCTGCAGACATGAGGAGGTGAGGAGAGGAAATTAAATCCGGCCCATCCTCACCTCCACTTCCTCCTCTTCTCCCCCCCTCGCCACTAACCCCGCCTTCGCCGCTCTCTCCCAGCCCGCTACGCCTCTCGCAGTGCGAGCGGTGCCTCATGAAGCTGTCGCGCCACATGAACTTCTTGCCGCAGCCGAGGCAGTCGTACGGCTTGAGGCCCGTGTGCGTCTTCATGTGCTCTGTGAGGTGATGCTTCATCTTGAACTTCTTGGCACAGACGGGGCAGTGGAAGGGCCTCAGGTCCAGGTGCATGTTAATGTGGCGGTCCCTCATGCTCTTGTGGGTGAAGGTCTTACCACAGTGGCACATGAACACTTTCCCTGAACCCCCGTTGTTGCTGTTACTGCCACCGCTCCCACTTCCACCCCCAATCCCTCCACTGTCCATGCCATCCACTCCCAAACCGCCCTGCACCGACAGGTGGACCGCACCGTGCTCCAGGCCGGGACCTTTGAAAGAAGCTCCTCCGATCATACCACCTGCCATCCCCAGGGGAGGGGCGCCAGCGTCCAGAGAGAGTCCGGAGGCCTGGCTGTAGAGGAGGATCTGGTTCCCCTGCATGTCCAGAGGGAAGAGCTGGGCGCGGGCTGAGGCTGCAGACTGAACCTGGCCCAGCAGCGCTGAAACGGCACGGTTAGCACTCTGGCTTTGACCCGCCGCACTGTCGTGAAGGTGCTGAGCTAAAGTCTGGTCCATTAAACTGCCTTCAAACTTGAGGTAGTCTTCTGAAGACTGGCAGTAGTCCACCTGGAGACAGACAGGGAAAGGTTTTGTTGCACTAGGAAAGATTTGCAAAATTTAAAACTCGTCAGTTTGAGATACTTTTACGCAGACTTCTCTATAGACTGCACAGCCTGCATGTTGGACAGACAATGTCCACCAGACAAGTCTCATATGCTGCATGAATCTCAAAGAACATTCCAGGTTAAAAATGGTTTTGCACATCATTGCCCCCTAGCGGTGGTCTCATTTTTCTACACACAAAAACTTCTGCTATGGGAATATTTAGAAAGTTGCTTTAATCACATGAAACCTCTTCCCATTGTGTGTTTAAAGTGAGTTTCAGCTCACCTGTGAGTCCATGTCGTTCTCAGCTCTGCCCCCGAGCTCGGCTGAAAGGCTCCTAACGTTTGAGATGTTGAAGTCGCTTCTCTCCCGCTCTCTGGCCAGCTCCATCTCCCTCTCATCCTCGTCATCCTCGTCTTCTCCTCCCTCCTCCCCGGACACTACGATGAGGTCGTCGTCCTCCATGCGTTCGGTTTTCACAACCACCCACTGTTTACGAGGCATGATGCTGGGCTGGCTGTAGGTGGGACGCTTCTGCGGTAGCAGCGCTGAGTCATCCCCATCCTTCCAATTGAGATAGTTCATGTTATAATACAATAATTGTATAATAAGGGATATTTGGTCTTTGTTGTCTCTGAATATCAACTTGATAACCAAGAGAAGTTTAATTATAAGCAGTAATGATATTACATCTATTCAGCAATGATGAAAATACTGAATATTAGTCTAAAGTGTAAGTGGATTGTTGTGTCGGTTACACGTCACCTGATATGAAGACACGCCAAAACTGTCGCTGACTCCAACTTCCTGCTCTGACACTGAGCTCATTTTCTTCCTCCTCCCGCTGCCTCCTCCTCGTCCTCTCTTCCTCTGGTGGTACAACACCTCCTCCTCTTCCTCCTCTACTTCCTCCTCCTCTTCCTCTATAAGGAAGGCTTCCTCTCCTCCCGATGGGGTGCAGTAGCTGGGGGTGTTGCTGGCCCCGCCTCCGTCCACTGAAGCTCCAGCTGCGGCTGCACCGCTTCCTCCAAAACTGCTCCCGTCCCTGGGGCTGAAGTAGTTGGTGCTGCTGGGAGACTGGCTCTCGCTCACTGACGGGCGGCTGGGAGGTTGCGAGGCGTGCTGGGGCTCGTTGGACCCTGCAACCTGGGCTTGACCACCACCAACACCACCATCACTACCAGCTCCATTACCACCACCTGCACCACCGTCTCCATTACTACTGCTACACCCGAGGTTAGCTGACCCTCCTCCTCCTCCCACACTGGCTCCGTCCTGCACGCCGCCGCCGCCGCCTCCTCCGCTGCTCCCTCCTCCCGACCGGCCCTCCTTCAGCAGCTCGGTGCATTTGTCCACGATGTGCCACATCTGCAGAACGCTGCCGACCGTGAGGTAGTTAACGATGTCCTCGCGCAGCATCCGCAGCTGACCGGTGTAGGCGCAGCTCAGCACGCTCTCAAATGCCAGCGGGTCCATTACTGCCGGGATGGAGACTGTAGACATGTTCTTCAGTAGTACCTGGGGATGAGAGGAAGGGTGAGCTATCAATGCATTGTCCTCCCTCTCTCCACCAGCTCTCATTTCCTATACACACTTCACTACGGGTTACAATCCAAACCTTAGTTCATTTATGCCATTATGGGCACTTAGTCTGTCTGCCAGCCCCTCAGACAGGTAACAGGAGTCTGATACAACCCCCACAAAGTGTCAGTAAAACTGGTCTTCGGTGTATGAGCTGGCTCTTGTAAAGTGTGAACTTGACACTGGTTTGAACTGTGAATGTGATTTTCCCACCATAAACAGGATCCCGGGCTACAACTCACTCAACTCATGATTGCTTTTGACAGAATATGAATAAATAAATCCATCCTTAAAATTAAGAAAATTCTGAATTCAAATATAGACAAATCTTTGGTAGTCTTTTGGTAGGTAAAAACAGTTCTCAGGAACAGGCTGCAAGGAGATTTCAATAAATGGGCCTCCTGTTGCACTATGTCCATATCACAATTCCAAGGGGATATTTTTATCCAAGCCAAGGAAGATAAAGTGCAGCAATGTTTTGCAAAAACTCACAGTTTACACATCTTATTTGTATGTAACCATCTTCCTGTTATAAGTCTTGAAAATATCAAGCGGATGCAAATATAAACTGCAGACCGCCTGCTGCACCATCTGACCGAAGGCTGTCTCTATCATAAGTCCTAAAAACTGAGACAGCTGCTTAAAAATTCAACAGAGTCTCTCGAACACTGCACGCTTCTGAATCTGAATCTCTTCAAGGTCCAGATCAGAAATGGATCAATACGACCTTGTGTAGTTTTTTTGTGTGTTTGGTTGGTTCCTATTCCTCACCTGGTCATGGAAATAAGGTGAGGAGGCGGCCAGAACGCAGCGGTGGGCTTTGAACACATGTCCCTGGACGTGGATGGAGAGGTCACAGAGCCGGCCGTCCTCTCTCTGCCGGTTCAGGCTGTCCAGCACCGACGCCTGAGCGCTGGGGAAGCACACCTGCACCACCGAGCCAGATGTGTCGCTGGGGGCTGAGCTGCTGCTGCTGCTTCCCACTTCCACAGGCTGCAGGGACTGCATCTGGGTGGTGGGAAAACTTTCATGACTCGATGATTAAATTAAGTTTCTTTATGTTTTTCCTCCCTGGTTTGTTACTAGTGGACACTGTTTGATATCCAGATATTGTACAAACATAACGAACTGCGACTTTTACTCTCCTGTTCTAATTTTTATTTGATATTTAACTCTTTTTTATTGGAGTTTAATGTCCTTCTACATTTTATCTTGATGCTTTTTATGTTCTATGTAAAGCACTTCGAATTGCCTTATTTAAATGACAAGAAATTGACTTAGTAAGTCCTTTGTCGTTGTAATATAACTACACTAATGAACGAATATTATAAGCTAGATACTCAGTTCTCAGTTTATTACGTGCTTAGTAAAACAATCTACAGAAGTCCTCCAATAAAGTCCTCCTCCATTAATGTCAGAATGTTTTATTTATGTTATGAAATGTTTAAAGAGGTTTATTCTATAAAACATCCGAAAATAAAGAAAAATGTCCAACTTAGTTTCCCGGAGTCGAAGGTCTCCAAATGTCTGGTTTCATCAGACCAACGATATTTAGTTTACAATAATACAACAGATAAAAGCAACAAATCTTTACATTTGAGAAGCTGCAACCAGAGAAATCTGGTAGATTAATTGTAGCAGATCAAATATTGATTAAACCTTATGATCATCTTGGAAGCTGCTGAATTGGATGGCACTATACGGAGAGGTGTTTTAATATAGTGACTCTATCTTCTAATAAAAATATTAAAAGCACCACAAACTACAGCTTCTGAAATAAAGTTAAATCATCATTTTCAACAAAAACTAAACACTATAAGTGTCAAGATAGAGTTCATTACACAGCTATTGTTCTACATTGCATTAGTTTTAGGTAGAGGATAAAACTCACCTCTCAGTAACACATGAAATCCTCTTTTGTATTTGTCGTGCAGCTTCATTAAGTACAGTCGTTTGCTCTTTTGAGCAAAACTGTAATTCTGATCTCAGCAGTTATAAAAAAATAAAACAGAAAACACGTAATAACTCAAGGTTATTCTTCGTCCTGAATACTTCTGAAACAGACTCCGGGATGAACACTGTCATTAAGTTGGATGCTTTATCCTTACAGGTATGAGTGAGGAAGCAGGGATGTGGTAACAGTGGGCCACTCAAGGAAGCAGTTGACTTGATTGGCTGCGTTGTTACTTAGAAAAGACTCTTAAATTACCCATAATACACTACAAATTACTCCTACTTGAGACAGCCAAGAACCAGACAGCCTTGTGGAGCTAAGTGTCTATTTGAAGTCTCTTTGTTAGCTCTCGGCCAGAGTCACAGCCTGCCTTTGTGCAGCCAGCTCCTGCTCCCTCTGTTTGAATGCTGCATGCACATTATGTATATCAGCAGCTTTTGGTCCATGCATTTATTTCCTGCTGTCATCAGATGTGTTACAGCTGACTGTCCCTGCACGGATTACACTTTAACAACAGACCGAAAAGCTCAGATAACCAGTGTTTGAGTTTAAAAACAACAGCACATCATGCACATTAACTAACAGACAGGCAGAGGATGAGCCCATGTTTCTGAAATCAACAGCTGGATTACAAACACACTTTTAGTTGACATGCTACAGGAGCTGCAGCTGTGTGCTGAAGAGGAAGCCATCAGTGCTGTGAGCGTGTCTTACTGATGGAAGTCTTCTCCTCTCAGACAGCAGACAGACAAACATCTGCAGCCCGTCACAGCTCCACACTCACACCGTCGATACAGATGTGGCGTTAGCACTGCTAGCTAGCCACCGACGGCTGGCGTACAGGAGCCGTGAGGACTGCGGGCATTGAACTCACCGTGTTTAGTTGACAGTGCAGCCTTCAAAGGTACAGTCTCTGGCCGAGCAGACGGTTTGTCCAGGCCCTGAAGTTTCAGGACCATTTTTTTGGAAATGTTCTTCCCATCTGATCTCTCCTGCAGCAGCAGACAGCGACGCGTCGCCTTTAAAAGGTTTCCAGACAGACGAGCCAGACTTCGGCCGACAAAAAAATAAAAAAGAATAATAAATAAATAATAATAATAATAATAATAAAACATATCTAAATACAGCGTGGATGTTTCTAATATTAATGATTGTTACATAAATCATTAAGATAAATAAAATAATTACAATAAAAATAGATTTTAAATATATAAAAGCACTATTTATCTCTTGACTCAGACACTGTTTACATATTTATATGTTGGTTAATATGGAACATTTTCATCATTTTCTTTATGTAAGATCTTTAAAATACTACAAATCGATAAAATACTGCAGAAAAAGATTGAAGCAAACATTGTCTAATGTGACTGTAATGCTGGTTAAGCAATTAAAATCTCTCATTTATTATAAAACATAACTCATAACTGCAATAAACCCAGAATAAAAGCAACTAGATGTTAAAAGATTTCTCAAACAAATCTCTGAAAGTTGATTTCCATATCATTGTCAAATGACATTTAAGTAATTTGCCTGGAAAATAAAACAAGGGAATTCAAATATATAAAACACAGTAGTTTGGTTTAGAAAATGTTTTCAGTAATGTTACAAGATCTGCCATAATATTTATATTTATTAAAGTATTAGCAATAATTTGAAATAAACACAAAGCAGAACAGGGAATATACAGTAAGCAGCCTTCTACTGAATGTCTTTATTATAAACATCATGTTGAGTACAAATAATAACAAAATGACTCCCCATTACCAGAAATCAAGACAAACAAAAGGGAAGCATCGGTATAATTGCACTACTTTTATTTGCAATTATTGTGCAAGTTACACAAAACACACTCAAACATGCTTGAATTTAAAAAAAACAAAAGATCAGAATAATATGGGTCCTTTTGTTAAAATGTGAGTAAATGTGTCGAATGGAGATCAAATGTCTCAACTAGCTCATTACAAAAACCCTCGAGAGGAAAGAAACTGAAAATCTACTACAAATATATGCGTATGTACACATCCACTTGATTTACAGAGAAGCATAAAAACGTTTAAAAGCCTGCGTTAGTGATAACTAAATGAGGCCCTGAGAATATACAAAAGGATTTTAGTTTTTGGTACAGATTGGCAGCACTGTGTGCCAAACAACACAATGTGTAAGTAAAAGTATAGAAAACAATGACACTAAGCATTTCATGTTATGACCGTCGTGGTAAAAAAAACATAGTGAGAACAGAATTAAGTTTTTTTTTTTAAAGCACTTCGCTCTACTTCCTGTTGGCACTTGCAGTCCCGATTACACAGTCGTTCACCTGTAAAGAGAACAAACAAAAGATTGTGTCACAAATCCCAAAGTCACGACTGTAAGAACATTATTAAGATATTACAGTGAAATGCTGCAGTCTAGAAACTAGTCAACAGATTTCAGTTCAATTCTGTGGAAAATGTAGCTCTGGGTCGAGGAAACAGGTAATTTGTTGAAGAGTTTATTGCTTTGACAATGTTACATGGGGCATTTTTGAACATTTTAATAATTTAGCCAGGAACTACTGCATTTAATTTATCTTAAAAAGAGCTTTCTCTTGTCCCGGCTAATAAATAAAATAACATTGGAGAAATACTAATGACACTATGGGTTGCTGAGAGGAAGTTTCCTAACAACAATTACGTTCACATCACAAGATTAATGCTCTCATGTCATCTTATACCAACAGACAGCACTGACCTTGCTGGCAAACCTCAAGGAGTTGAGGGTTTCCCCAAAGCTGTCTGGCTCTGGGGCGATGTTCACAAACATCAGGCTGCGATGAGAAAAACACAAAATCAACATAAATATTGTTAAAAAAGAGAGAGAGAATTTAAAACCAGCAAAAAGATGGTAAAATCGTATTTAGTCTGCCCTGGTTTGGGACTCAAGTGACAAAACGTAACCGACGTCCTGAAGCTACGCTGATGAAGAACTCACGTTTTGCTGTTTCCTCCTAAGCAGCCCTGCAGAAGGTAGGTAAGCTTGGAGTTCCTGTATGGAACGTAGCTCTCCTGGAACACAAACAAAACAACAAATAAATACTAAATAATGAACAAAAATGAGGAGCATTTTGTCATCCCCAACCTGGGGTGTAAATAAACTATATATCTAAGGTTCACAGCCTCAGGAGCACTCAGTGTTATTACAGACCTTGTTGGCCAGTGCGCTGATGACGATGCCCAGGTTGGACAGGGAGCCGTTGATGGCTGTCATCTCTTTGAAGCGCTCACCCTGAGACTGACTCTTCAGCATCCGCTCACTGCCAGCCAGGTCCACCAGACACAGAGTGGCTGTAATACACAAGAACAAACAAACACATCTTTATTAAAAATAAATATGCAGGCTTACCAAAAATAAGAATGTATAATAAAATCTAATTGAAGAGAAAGCTAAAAGCTATTTGGATACCGACACAAGATATCTGCTGTAAATGTGGGAAAAGGCACAATAACGTTAATGCTAAGTCAATATTAATTAACCAATTAACCAGAGTTACCACATTTCTGATACATAATCACTGGGACTGTACTCACACTTGCACTTCACATCCCTGCCAGCATTCACTCCCTCAATATCCAGCTGGAAGACTGAATGGGAGCGAGAGGAGCGGTCATTCTGGGCTGTCTGGGCTGTGGACCGATTCTGATTGGCCAACGCAATCAGGCCGAGAACCTGGCAGGAGGAGGGGATCATATCGATTATTTACTGTAAAGTAACAAATGCACAGTATAAATAAACTGATGTACTGATACGTCAATCATAGCCGTGTGCTTGTTTATGGATTAAAAATGATTTACATCAACTCTGCTGCAGTCTTTCATATTAGGTCATATATTTTTTTTAGACATCATCAGTCACAGAACTCGACCGATATCCGCCTGTCGTACCTGATCCTCGTTGGAGACCTTCTCGTAGGTGAGGTTGCTGATTGTCACCTCACTGTTGCTCAACTTTCGGATCTCGTGCTCAGGCCTCTTGCTGGCCTTCCCAGTGTAGAGGAGGTCTCGCAGGGTCTCGTTGTAAATTTCAACAAAGCTCGCTGTGAAGTTGAACTGAGATAAAAACAGAAATGGTTCCGACGTTTAATAAAAGTGTTCACTTTCCCTCGTGATGCTGCTTCTCCTCCACAGATACAAACATACTGTGTGACGCAGTACCCGAGTGCAGACAGGAGGTTAAATTGGTTGTGTGAAATGTACAGACTACCCTTAGCTCGTTTTAGTGGCGGTGGCACACAAGAGCAAAAATCCACATTGTGTGACACCCTGGGTGCCAAAAGAACAAACCAAACACCACCAGTGTGGCAGCACAATGGGTTGAGCATTACTGCAGCTTCTCTGTAGGGCAAAGGGGATCTTGTGATGCCTGTAATTCATTTTTATTACACCAACATAAGCAGGCTTTAGAAGGTAAACTACTGTTAACTCTGCAGTTAATTAGTTTATAAGCTAATGAAAGATGGCTGTCATTGCTTCATCTTTTTCATTTTGTGTAAAACTTCTCTGTGTGGGCACTGAGTTTGTTCAAAGCAGCCTAAAGGAAAAAAGGTGTAACAGATTTTTGCACTGCTCCGGGAGAAATCACACCAGAGTGAATGTTCTCCCAATGCTACAGCCCGTGTGCTGCTCTCTCCAGGTTTCTGTACATCTGTCTCACACTCTGTTGTGACATTGTGCTGTCCTTTAAACATGTGTCAGAATGTACTTTCTTACTCTAGCAATTATCCATGTGTGTCTGAATCTCTGTAAACAAGTCCCAAGCATTCAGTTATTGTGAATAAGTGCTGTTAGTGCTTAAAACTATTAGCAGATTGATCACAGGAAAGTTATTCTCTCCAATTTTCCTACTTGTTATTTGTCAAGTAGATAAAAACGTTTTGTGATGTGTCATTATCAAATGATGATAACTAAGGCCCAATGTGTACGTGGTGTGGCTCTGTAAGGTTTGGGAAGAGGAGCTGTTTGAATACCGACATATGACACTTACCTCCCAGCCTTGCGCTCCCAGCTTCTCTGCTGCTCTGAAGATCTGCGTTACAGCTCTGGGAATGACTCCTCTGGTCCTATCAAACTCGTCTCCCTCCATGGTGTATGTCTTTCCGCTCCCTGTCTGGCCATAGGCAAAGCAGCAGACGTTGTATCCATCCAATGCAGACTGCACCAGCAGTGAGATCTCCTCGAAGACCTGAAAACAAAAGTCACCATGAATTTCCTGCTCTGATGGGAAACAGCCACAAAATGTTCATGTATTTTAAAACAGTGGTGCAAACTGTCACTGTGTTTATTTTACCAGCTTATAAACTTTGATTGTTTTGAAAATTATGATTATTAAAAGGTTTTGTGGTGTATATGAGTGATTGTGTTTATGAAACACTAGATTGTGTTGTAAATCAATCATTTGTCAAGCATATTCCTAACATAACATAACAGTTAAAATTAAGCATTTTCCAAACTTTCAAGACTTTGTACGGATTTATTCGTGATAAATGTAAATTGTGATGTGTGTGTGTGTGTTGTTGTTTACCTCCTGTTGTGAAGCAGTCGGGCCAAACACTCGGTCAAAACTGAAGTTGTAATTCTTGTGAGTGTCTGCAGTTTTGCCTGTGTGAGACTGAGAAGCAGAAAAGAGCAGAAATTAGTTTGAGTTTCTTTTTATCACTTCTTCTTTTAGGTGTGTTTGTGATGATGGGGTTTGTTATAGTGACTTTGACATCCATTCAACTCATTCTGATGTTTTTCTTTTCTACAGTGTAATTGGCTGGTTAGAGTGTAAATACATCACAGAAACTCTAGAGAATACTTGCTGCTGTGGCTTATAAAAACAGTTTCCTTAACTATCTATTCAAATATGACTTTGAGAGATCTGGTAAGCCGACAGATTTCTCACCTCCTCTGTTTTGGCCAGTGTTATTGTCTTGTCATCACTAGCTGGGAGCTGGATGTGTTTGCTGAGGCCTCCATCCACCAGTGGGCGCACTCTGCAAAAGACCCTGATATTGCCCTGCATGGAAAGGGTGATAGATAAATTAGTCTCAAATCAGATAGAAGAAAACAACATTTGTTTGGTTGTTGCACAAGTACAAAAAAAAGGAGAAGGAACCAAATGTTCACCAGTTAGACTCAAACTAGAGACAAGGTCTCCATCACATATATGTGCTGAAAGGCCTTTGTTGAGCTGTTACTCCACATGATAACTTGCCTTGAGCTCCTGGATGGTATTGTGGAGCCGTCTGCGCTCCATCTCCCCGGCATGAAGGTCATCCTTCTGCTGGGACACTGTCTCTTTGAGAGATCGAACCTCTTCCTCTGTGTCTCTGAGGGTCCCCTGCAGGCGGGCCAGAGTTGACTCCTGCACTGAAAGCTTCATCTGGAGTAGAAAGACAAGCACAACTCAAAACCTTGTCTTTTCCAACAGAAGTATGGTATATTATGTCACTAGTTTCATTAGGGTCAGGTCTGTCAAATGCATGTTTATGGTTTCCAGCAGCAGACTTTATACCTTGAGAGTTTGCAGCTCTGTCTCTTGGCTGTCTCTGAGAGTCTCCATGACCTTGTATTTGCCTTCCAAATTGGAGAGTTCCTTTTGAAGGGTGTTCTTCTCACTAGAGACTTTCTCCAACTCATTGCGGACTCCGGCCAATGCATGCAGCTCATCCTCGTACTCACTAAAACCACCAAAAAGAAAGGACATTTAACGGAATTCAAACAGACAAATTAGTAACACTACAATGATGAGAGTAAAATAATGTAACTGGATTCATTTGTTCAAACAAAGTATTCTTCGCACCTGATCTGGCTCCTCTGCATCTCAAGCTCTTTCTCCATTTGATTCACTCTCGTTTGGCTCTGGATCATCGTGCCTTTCAGTTCCTCATTCTCCTGGTTGATCGATTTGTACTTGGTCTGGTAGTTACGGATCTTGCCCTCCATGTCGCTGACCTTGCCCTTCAGGTCCCATGCATGTCGCTTGTTGGCCCCGCCCCCACCTGTGCACAACAGCATCATCAACGGGTGCAATTCAGAACGCAAGATTCCTGCCCAGGTTTCCTTTGAGGCCATTACAAAACAGCCCTTTTCCACTGAACACATGCACACACATCACAGTACGAAGAACACGGGCCCAAATAATCCAATTAATAATGGCTGAATTCTATTTAGTTGCTCCAGGTTCAGGGACCTGGTATTTTGCATGCTGGGTTACTGGGACACGTGAATACAAAAGAGGTACTGTTTCTGTTATTAACACCTTTTGTACAAATAAAAATGTCTTTTCTGAAAAGGCCCATTCTGAATAAGACCATGCACTTAGAGATCACCTCATGCTATATTCTAAGATCTGGTAGAACGGCTGGCAGCACTAAAAACCAAACACTCATTCACTTGATTTGACATAATTTATTAAATAACAAGAGTCTCATGGAAAGGATCTCTCACCTGCTTTTGCACCCGCGGGTGCAACAGGTTGTTTGATGTTGCCTCCCTTTGCTGCAGTTGAAGCTATAGATTGTTTCAGGACACCTGATGAAACAACAAAGGACAATGCATGAAGAAAACATGACAAAATCACTCATGCAACACTAGAAACTATCATCTTGTTAATAATATCTTGAGTTTATGGTGGATTCAAAGCACTTCTACGTTTATTTGCTACCAGTTGGTAAACTGTACAACTTGTGAAATATAATCTTTATTAATACATAAGACCTAAACTAAACTGTAACGCCTGCAATCCTGACATACAATATAATATATACAATCACAGCAGACAGCTCATCTTACCTCTGGAAGGACCAACAGCCACGGTGGCAGCTCCCCCACCTCTGACTGGCCTAGCTGTGAAAGGGACAAAGTGAGACAGAGAGGTAAAGGTTTAGTCTAAAGAGGACAGAGGAACCTCAAATCAAACACGCTTGAACAAAACAACAAGAGCTGAAATTCTGTTTGATTACATTTTGTGCAGATTGTAAAACTCAGGGTGGAGCTAGTAACTTACAAACAAGTGCCCTGGATGCTGCAACAGCAGGCCGCTTGCTACCGATGATGGTAGCAGCTGCACGTGGTCTGACAGGCTCTGGGTCCTTACGAAGCTTCTTCTGCAAACACAAAAACACCAGCATAACATCAGAGCAACGACTTCACTTGTCAGGTTATGACAATAACCAATGTTTTCTTCCACACCTATCATGCACCATCATTTTGAGGACGCAGAAATGTTTACCAACTGTATTATATGGGCTACATGTCTTAGTCCCATTGTTAAACATTATAAAATAAAAGTAGAACAGAATCCAGTCTCATACAGAAATCCATTTTACTGTTTAGATCCTGAGTGACAGACCAATATCTGGGTGCTGGATAAATGGTTACTCCACATGCGAAGCAGCTTTAGGTTCAGCAGCAGAATAAAAACAGACAGAGAATAACTGGTATAAAGAAATGAAAGATGAAGATGATGATTTTAATACAAACCTGAGCAGGTGCAAAGTCTTGGCCATTCTCTGAGCTGCTGCTGCTGCTTGTAAGGACCCTTTTGCTTGAACTAACTGGCAAGCGGGACATGATCTGTTGGGGGTTGAGAGGAAAACTATAGTCAAAACAGACACAGAGAAAAATCTCACAGCATTAACACTTCTCTGTGGCACGAATATCAACCAGGAGGGTTCGCTCCTGTTTGTGCCTGCTACCATTACAGCTGCATCAGATGTCAATACCGGCACCCAGACATGTTTTAAAAAGGTAATTTCACAACACTTGCTGCTGTTCTACCTCTAAAATCCACTCTTCTATCCATCTGGATGAAAACAAATATTCAGTTTGCTGCATGAGAAGCCTGTTTGTCAAGTTGTGGTTGTATTTCCTATTGAGATTACATATGTTCTTGTTGTTTTTGCACAACAACAACAACAACAACAAAATAACCCATAATTGCATGCAAATATAAAATAATAGAAATCAATCAATAGAGACAAATATAGCTGTTAATCTGAAAAGAAACACAGGTTCATGTTATATTATGTTCATTAGAGATTAATGGATCAGGCAGTCAGAAAAACAAGGACATAGTATTGTTTGTTTTTTGTAAAATCAGATGCTTTGCTCTAAAGTAAAGTAAAGTAAATACATAAGAGGCTTATATATAAAAATATATATATAATATATAAACTTCTCCTACACTGGTGTTAGAGTATGTTTAACTACACAATGTCAGTGTATGGAGGTAGAGATTCACTCCATTCACACACTGTCAGCTGAAACACAACCAACTATAGTTCCTCTCTATCCTCTCAAACACAGGAGCCATTAAGGATCTTATTGTGTTAAATTAGCTCCGACCAGTAAACTAACGTTAGCTGTTAAATACAACGTCCCTGTCAGCTAAGCTAGTTGCCGTTAGCTTGAGCAAAAAAGGTAAATATATACGTTAAATTACAAAGACTATCACTTTTGTGTCGTCTATGAGCATTTATTTGTCCAATTTAAAAACGTAGATGAACAATATAATATATATAAAGCTTTGATTTATGAACAGTTACCTTTAGTAGAGTTGGATTTCGCTACAGATGTCTCCGGTACAAAGTCTGCGGCCGTTTGAATTTCAAATTCAACTGTTTTGGTGGGCGCTTCGCATAAGCTGCTCTGATTGGCGGAGCCAGCGTAAACCCCGCCCCTATCGCTATATGTGTTTGTTACACTGTACGGAGTGTCCCGCTCGGGCGGGATGGCGCTGTCCTCACGTTAGCCAGCCTGCGAAAGGAAACATTGTAAAAGTTGTAATAAAAACGAATCACATTGAGTGCTCCACTGTAGCTACGTCACTAATGACATTTGATTCACAACAATTTTATATTTATATCATTCACATTATTTAATATTATTAATATTATATTAATATTATAATCATATAATATATATATATATATATATATATATAATAATAAACCTTTGATGTAACGATGTGCTTAAATTTTCATTTTGTTTTAGAGGCAGTGTAAATGCTGTAGTATCATCATTGACAGTGTATATATATATATATATATATATATATATGTTTTCTCTTCATTTACTCTTTAATTACAGCAAAATATAATCAGCTTTAACTAAATTTACAGTCAAACTCAAACAGATAATAACAAATAAAACACTGCTTGAGTTCACTGCTTTACGTCCACTACATTTAAAAGGAAAATACAAATTTTGTGATAGTAGTTGTCAAAATGCTTAAGCTACTAACTGTGATCACTGCATTTCTTCACAATGTAACATCCAGGGCTTTGTGTTTTAGTTTTTTACATGGTTCATGTCACAGTAAATGATCCACAATACTGTGTTCAGCAGTCTCACAAACACAGCGATTCAATTCAATCTTTCACCACAAATCCACAATATTTCTGCTACATTGAGATGCATGTACTGTATCACTTCCCTGACAATTAAAATGGCTATTATTATATTATTAATATGTTTTTTTTTACAACACAATTAACTATTGTCTCACTCTTCTCGCTCTCACATCTTTCCATTTTACACATTGTTCACAGTTGTATGTTGTTGCAATTATTGAAAGGCTCATTATTTTGTGTTTCTCACAGATTCTTCAGCCTACAAATCAAATTATCAGAGAAAATCTTTCATTTTTAACCAACTGATTAATTATGAACACTTCAATCAATCAATCACATCCTTTTTTACCCACCGTGATGCTGGTTATGGAGCTTTATTGCTCAATAAAAGCAGAAAAAAGGTGATTTTTCAGTCTAAATATCTAAATTAAAACAAAAATAAAAAATCAGACATAACTTAACCTCAGATTTTATCAAATCATTCAAAACAATATCAGATCATCATACATTCTTATGAATACCACGCAGAATGGATTTTACTAAAATAAATCAGACAATAAAGTTTTTTTCATCATAAACTGTTTTCGAACTTTATTCTCCTTAAGGGAAGAAACAGTCTGTTCAGATGAGCAAGAGGTGTAACTGTGCATACAGTATGCGAGAGTGTAGCATAAGAGGGCAGTTAATAACTGTATTATTATCAGGAGCATCAGTAATAACATTAACAAGAATATTGAGAGTGTGTTATTTTTCATAAAAAGACAATGAAATACAAGGAGGAGTATACATGAAGACAATCAGCCAGTTGTTCAGGCCGCTTGAACATTTTGATTTGGGTAGAGATAGCTTGTGCACGAAAACATGGCAGCAGTGTCCCAGGTCACCTTTGTCACAGCCTCATTTAATGGTATTTAATCATTAACAGATACTCTCAGATCACTTGTAAAAGTGGTCATGAAGGAGTGATCAACTGGTTCAGGTGGCAGCGGGTCACTATCTCACAGTTCCACAACCATTTTGTCCAATAAGCCCAATAACAGTCCCTGTTAATTATTACAAACAGTTTAACTTGGCCAAACCGTTGCAGGTTACATCATAATGAATGAATATCATCTGGTTATGTTGCAGCCATTGTTCTCGCAGTGAATGAGACTATCTCTGCACTACATGGATTCTTCTTTAAGACTCACTGGCCCTTCAGATTATAGACTCGCTGATGGTTTGAACAGAACGTGTCTCTGAGCAACAGACTTTTTTTTAAAAGGCCTAATTACAATTAAAGTGAATATCACAAAGTGCAATTTGTAGTTTAACCAACTTTTTGGCTTTGCTGAGCGTGGAGGTTACCTGGGATACCAGCCAATGATTTGGTACTTGTTCATTTGAGTTCCTTTAGTTTCCATATATGCTTTATACAGGACATACTTCCCTTTTACAGATGAAAAAGTATTTTCTATCTATTTTATGTACAGCATACTGCAATACAATAATGCCTCAGATAATTGATAATAATGTGGATAACATTTGCAATACAGTTATAATGAAAGTAGTAATAATATGTATGAAAAGTTCTTTAAAAAAAGATCGATAACAGTACCTGTCAGCCATTTTTATCACACAATCATTATTTCCCCAACAACTCCCCCGACAGTGACGAGTTGGGCTGTTACTCACTGAAGAATAGTAAAAATAAAAAAACAAATAAAGGGGGGGAAATGCTCTGTCAGGACTTTTCTCTCTGTTCCCTTCTCATTCATGCACTCACTTTGCTTTCTCTCTGAGTTTGCTCACGCGTTCCTCTGTTGGTAGAAAAATACATACATATGATATATTAAAAAAAAGTACAATGATGACAAACATAGGCATGAAGTACAAGCTTCATCAAGTGCTTTCTTTATGACCCCTCCCACCCCACCAACCCCCCCTTTTTTTTTTTTTTTTAAATCGCTCACGTTTCCATCGTCTCGCTCTGCAGCAGATTCCTCACATTTAGTGCATTCTCAAACCGCTCCGTCTCTTTTGTTCCAAGCTTTGGGCTCCGACCGAGAAATGGTTCCTGGACTCCTCGCTGTCCGAGGGGAGGCGGGTGTAAATAAGAACATCACGATTTGTGAAATGCACACTTTGAGATTCAGCCCCAGGCTTTACCCTAATCCCATAATACGCCACGTCGTTTCCTTTCAGGAACTCCTCTTGTTGGTGGTTTTCTCAGGCTCCAGTCCAGTCGTTCTGATCCAACCTCTGTTGTCCACAGCACATTGGCAGTGTCATACAAAAGCTTTTCAGACCTTCCTCATTTTTCCGACCAGTGCCGCTGCCATCCAATCTCAGTTGCTGTTATGAATCTCTATAGTCTTTCATCACTCACTCCTTTCCTCATTTCTCTTCCTTGTTTTGGCTTGAATTAAACAATGGAGAATGTTCAGATTAATGTGATCTGAATGTGTGGAAAAATTACACCATTCTCTACGACCATAAATGAGCAGAGAATAGTGTAATTTATAGATATTTTACATCTTCATCCTCCTTGATGCCCACTGCAAACAACGCAATACAAAAGAAGAGAAGGGACACCAGGGAGCCTCTTTAATCAAGATTCTCAGAGGACTGCTGGTTTAGGATCAGTGTATTAAGTGTGATTTACAAAGCAGATAAGTTGATAACTGGTCCATCTACTCATAGCTGATTAAATCAGAATTTGATCAATTCAGGTCTAGATTTCAGTCATAATAATATAAAAGCCAAAACTGATCTCACATTAGGTTTTGGTAAAGTTTTCACAAACTGGAAGAATGTGGTTCCAGGCTGAAGAATAAAATACTTATGTCAGTGTCCTAGACCAGCATTTCTACTGAAAGATACTTGGCACAAGTGGGCTCAGGAATCGAGAAGCACATTGTAAAATATCTGTGTTCTAACAACTAATTTAATGTTGTACTCAGAATTAAAGCTTCTTCATCATCAGGTTGATAATGTCATCAAAGCCACTAATGTCTCATACTTTCCAATTGAGAATAGTATCAATAAACCAGATGATTTGACGAATGGGGGGAGTAAACTTTTACACCCAATTTGCCATTTTTTCTTGCTTAAGAAGGCAATAATACTGAATACAGTTAAATTACTTGTTCATATGGAGCTTTTTACACTGCAGACACAATTAGTAATTTCTCTAACAGAGTGGGAAGACGCAGCCTATGAGTTCATGTGCTCCACCTGTATGGCTGATGTGGAGACGGTGAGGCAGAGGTCTTTGTGGGTCACTGGCAGGTCCGCCACAGTGACTGGTTTGTACTGGATTTCGCTGGCTGACACTGTCTTGTACTGGTGGAGGTCAAAAGGGCATTGAACCACAGCTTCCGTGGGCTGCTGGTGTGACTGGTAGCTGCCTGGGGGTCCAGGGTTAGGGTTCTGGGAGTTGTTGTTTGGGTTGTTCTGGCTTTGGAGCTGGCCTGCTCTGCCCCCACCTCCTCTCCCTCGGCCACGGCCTCGGCCTCTGCCCCCTCCCCCTGGCGTAAGGCCCTGGGCCTGCTGAGCAGCTACAGTTGCTGCCACAGTAAGCGGGTCGGGGTTGTGCTTCCTCATGTGTTTCATTAGATACGTCTCCTGCAGTTGGGGAGAGAGAGAAGCAGAAGACATGATGACAGGAATGAAAAAAGAGAAGGAAGGGATCTGTTTAATTCAAGGTATATTCAGTAAAGTTAGTTGTTTTTGAAAGACCACAGTCGTGTAAAAGGTGTGTGTGATATTGACTGACGAGTCTGAGAGCCTACCGAGGTATAGGATCGGTTACAGAGGCCACAGGAGAACAGCTTGGCATGTTTGACAGTGTGCGTGGACAGGTGCACCTCCAGGCTGGCAGCATCTGTGTAACCACGGTTACAGTTGTGGCACTTGTACGGCTTGTCTTTGTTGTGCTGCCGACGGTGAGACTGTGGGGAGAGGAAGAGGGACACAGAGGAAGGGTTGGGATCAACAGCCATTAGCACAATCAATAAAGGGATGTTTCCTGAACGCAAAGTGAATCTGATGATGAGAGTGCAACAAAAATGTCTCAAAGAGCAATTAGATTTTATATTATTTTACAAACAGTGGAAAAAATTCAGTAGATGGGCCAATAAGAGCATTTATCTTGATCTTGACTACAGTGGAAAGGCAAAACAATTTCAGCTCCATTAGGACTGATTTCTGTTTTAGCTTTCATGTGACCTTAATGTAAAGTGCACACTCATGTTTTGGCCAAGAAAGAGAAAATCTTGCAATAGAAAACGTCATCAGTTAAGTAGCAAGGATCAAACCTGTGAATTCCTTTACCTGTAGGTTGGACAACTGAGTGAAAGATTTTTCACAGCCAGGATGGTTACACTTGTACGGTCGGTCGCCGGTGTGAATCCTGAAAAATCAGTTAGTCACATCATTAGTTAATTACACTATAATTATAATTTCTTACTGCACTTGCATCAAGAAAATAAAAAAATGAGAGTGATGTGCATTATTACGAGTATTCAGTATGTTATCTCTTAGCCAAAGCAACATATTGTACATACAGCAGTGTTATTCCGGTTCAAATGAAGTGCACTCATCCCCCCTTAGTGGTCTATCATTTACCATCATTCACAAATCAAAGTAAACATATTAAAGATATTTTAATGGCATTAAGATCCTAGCTTAGTAGCTTCCTCAATTTTATTTTCTTCAACTTTTAAGGCAGTTCTTTCTGGTATGTGGTTTTATTAACTCGTATGTCCAGTGATTCAAGTTGTGAAAAATGCTGAGGTGGTTTGTACCTCTTCAAAGGCTTTAGATACCTTTAACCCTGCTTTCAGACCATTATATGACCATTTGGCATCAATAAACAATCAGAAACATTAAGCCATCCAAGGCAGGAATTTACCATAAGCAAGGTTTGGCTGTTAGATAGGTAATGGGTTAAGTCAAATAAATGTTAATGCCACTCTGTGTAAGACCTGAACATTTCTTACTTTGGCAAATCTGATTTAAATGATAGAAATCACATCACAATGACATAATTCTCCACACACCTGCTCCCATACATGCACACATAAAAACACATCCGGCCATTCAAACCCACACAGCCCAGCCCAGACCAGTACCGTGTGTGCTGCTGTAGGTGACTGAGCTGCCTGAATGTTTTCTGGCAGTAGGAGCAGGAGTAGGGCTTGGCCCCGGTGTGGATGCGGATGTGCTGGGACAGGTAGCTGGAGTTGGCAAACGACTTGGAGCAGTGGGGACACTTGTGGGGCTTGGCCTCAGTGTGGTTTCTAACACGGGAAACCGGGATTGGAGGGGTGAGGAGGTGGAGAGAGAGAAACAGAGAGAGAAACAGCGAGAGATTTTTAAGCTACAGCATGACCAAACTTCACGATGAACTGAAGACCAAATCATGCGTTAAAGTTAACAGGATCTGCGATCAATTGCGCTGATCATAGATCATTAAGTCTGACAGTGTGCTCTTTGTGCTGTGTCTGAGTTGTGAAAACACAGAACAAAAACATACAGCAAGCACAGTCACGCTTTTCTCTTTCTCTCTCTCTCTCTCTCTCTCTTGCAGTCTCTCCACTTGGTGTGCCCTGCTTTCAGTGGAGTGTGTTTATGAATGTCTGACTCTGCTGCAGTCAAATTGAAATGTAAATTCAAAATGATTGGCAGGCCGGTGGAGTGCATCTTCCTGTTTAAAATTAATGGCTTGAAACTCACAAAGAAAACCCCCGGTGCATGGCAATAAGGCGAATGGAAACATGAAGAAGGTGAAAGACAAGGTCATTCATGACAACGTGAATGGGAGACAGGTGCTTTCATCACTTACATGGTCACACATGTAATCCAAGAAAAAACATTCTCAGTGTCGGATTAGTGGCTTTATCTGTTCTGGAAATATGATCATGAGGGTGTGTGAAACATGCAGGCTGACTCGGAGGATGGAAAAAACAATAAGAAGTGTGTATTGTTTTAAAGGGCTAAATTATGATACAGTTAGCATGCAAAGAGTCTCACAGATGTGTGATTAAACCAACAGACAGCTGACAACGTTTTTACCATCTAGTTTTCAGCTTTGTGAACATAAACAGTGCCATTTTCTCTCCATTGTGACCTTAACCAGAATTCTATTTAATGCCTTTCCTGCCTGACATTAAATTCAAATGAAAAGCGTTTGGACGTCACAAGGTGCTTCAGCCCAAAGAGGGGATGTTAGAAAGAGTGGTGTGAAAGCCGAGGTGGATCCAAAGAAACCAGAAAAATAATAAGATAACGCAACATGCATGCAGTACCAAGCCAAGCATGTGATAGTGCCACCAGAAGGATGAAAAACAGACACCAACCACCTACTGAAGGTATACTTTGGTGGTAACTGGTACTGTGAGTTGACCTCTACTAAACACTGTAACATGCATCCACCCTTATGTATTACATTTGATTATAAATAATATTCTTAATTGATAAATACAAAATAAAAGAAGCTCAAAACAATAATTAAACTTAGTTTAGTGTTGTAACTTCAAAGGTTATTCTCAAACTGTGCATAAAGAGCTTTACACTGTCAACACTTTCCCCATCACATCTCCATCTCCCTGCCCCATCCTCCCTCCATCAGTCACCCCCTCCCCCGCTTTGACAACAGAATCCACATGAACAAGCAGGTGCACACACACACACACACACACACACACACACACACACACAGGACTGCACACCCCACTCAGACCAGTACCGTGTGTGCTGCTGTAGGTGACTGAGCTGCCTGAATGTTTTCTGGCAGTAGGTGCAGGTGTAGGGCTTGGCCCCGCTGTGGATGCGGATGTGCTGGGACAGGTAGCTGGAGTTGGCAAACGACTTCGAACAGTGGGGGCACTTGTGGGGCTTGGCCTCAGTGTGGGACTTGGCATGGATCTGCATGTCTGACTTGCTGAAGAACGTCACAGCACACATCCGACACCTTGGCAATGAGAGGGAGAAGCAAACTTTAATGGCACACAAAGCGGTCGAGGAGATTTAATGTAGGCCTGCAAGTTTTAAATGTTGAATTAAAATCTATGATGCCACAAACAACAATGCTTTTCTCTGATCTCAATATCTTTCTACTACCTGTAAGATTTGGGACCATCTTTGTTGGTATGATCATCCTCATCGTTTGACAGGTCATATGGGTCAGCAGTGTGGTGCTGTAACACAATAACAATATATTAGTTATGAAGACACAAACACTGGCCATTCATGCTGTATAGAAACTTACACTAACTCACTAACAGCTACATCAGAAGTCCAACAAAAGACTATAAGCTACAGAAAGAGGAAGAGACCCTCACCTGTCCACCAGCCAGGTGCGCCAATATTAATGCATCGCTTCCTGGTGGGAGGACCCCACCCACTCCAGCCACTCTTCCCATCATCTGTTTGCTCTTCCTGCCTCTCTTCGATGGTGTCGGCATGACAACTGCAGGAGGGACAGCAATGTCCTCCTTCTTGTCTGGAAAACAAAAGAAAAGTAAAAAGAAAGAAAAGAGAACAGAGGACGGGGGGGATGTTGTGTGAAGATAGCATCTGTTAAGAGATGCACAAATGTGATGTAATTGGTCCCACATATCACCTACATTCGGTGTCTGCCTGGGGAGCAATACTAAAACAATTGGCATAAACTTTGACAACACTTAAAACACTATCCAACTAACAGCAGCTGTTGCAGACGAGCTGAAGTGACTGAAGTGACGGTGAGCCGCGACTGTGGTTTACCTGCATTTGAGGCGTGCAGTGCAGACACTATCATGGTGGTGGCAGTGTGATGTCCAGCTACAAAAGACTGTGTGGAGGCAGTGGGGACCAGTGTGCCTTGAGGGGTGGTGATCACTAATCCCGCTAAGAGAAAAATTAAGACTGTGATCTGACTGTCTATTTGGACAAAACAAACATTTTACATGAATTCTCTTGGGGGGGGGGGTCATTATTCAGACTAGAACAAGGACAAAGCAGCCCACTCACCTGCAGTCATGATACCCGTAGAGGGAACAGGCACAACGGTGATGTTCTGTGAGGTGTGCGACTGGTGCAGGTGTCCCCCGACCACACTTAAAGATCCGCCGCCACTGTTGCCTCCCGCAGGACCCCCACCTCCCTCCTGCTTGGGGATGGCGAGCACAGCCGTGGGATAGTGGGGGGAGGAGGTGGAAGATGCAGAGGGGTGAGGGAAGGAGGCTGCATTGGCCTTCTCTTGACCAAGCTGCTCCTTTGCCTTGTTCAGGAACATGGCGTTCTCGATCTAGAAAGGGGATGAGGAGAGGGGCGGGTTGATGGTGCGAGGAAGGAAAGAAGGAAGGGTGAAGTATTAAAGAGGAGAAGAGGACAGGATGGGTGTAGGTGAAACATTGGGAGATAGCACGAGGATGGCAGGGTAAGGATGGGGTGATGAAGCAATGTAGTATCAGAGGAAGAGGGGAGAAGACAGAGGAGGAGAAGCAGGCGATGGGAGAGGACAGAGAACGAAGGCAAGGTGAGATGCAAAAAAGTAAACGAAAAAAGGAACAAAGAGAGGTTGAAGAGACGAGAGGGACAGGAGTGATCATGTGATCAAGTGAACCCCCACGAATGTCAAGCACTCAATGTCAGGTTAAAGCCAACTTCACAGACTAAGCGAGCATTATTCGGTGGTGATATCAACAACATGTTCAGGGTCAAATCATTGTCTGCTATTAGGTAATGTTTAAAGTATTTCCATTAACAAAGTGATTATTCCGGGTATCTTTTGACATAGCACATACCAATCCACCATGTATATTTCAACAATAAGGTTGTGTCTACCTGTCCTTGTACAGTGGGGACGGGAGACCAAAAGTATGATGAGTTGAAATGGGAATCGTCCATTATTTCTGTAATTAAAAAGCAACACACTTAGAAAACACCTGTCCTCGTCCTCCTCCTCCTCCTTCTTACTATGCTCTTATGTTGTTGTTGTTTTTACTTTCATGTGAAACCATGCATGGCTGTGTTTCAATCATCTTAGTTTGTTTCCTTTCCTTGTATCCTCTCCTCCTCATCAGCTGGCACAATGAACATGTTTCAGGATCAGTGTGCAGTGCAAACACCAGGCAGGATTAGCTGTGGCCGGTTAATGTGTCTCCTAAATCAGCCACCTTGAAACCATTATTTAAAGGGATCGCTTTACAAAAGTGTAAGATTATTAAGCCTAATGCTTTTAGATTTGTGCTGTTAGATGTACAGAGAAGAGGATGTGAAAGGAATCAGATAAAGATGTTCAATCCCGGGAAGGATAGACATAAAATAAAAATCTACAGGAGGACAGAAGAGGCAAGAGTTGAGAAAACACCAACAGTAATCAGTCTTTGAGGCGTTTGATAATGTTTTCTAACACAGCCCATGCACTTCCTCACTAGTCCCTCACACATTATGGCTGCAACCAACAAATTTCACAATCTTAAGAGTGGTTGCTTTATCAGCAACATGTTAATGAGTCTTAACAAAACAATGTGTCAGAACTATTTACTGCCCGGAAAACTAAGACCGAGACGTGTTCTCCAGACTGAATGCAATGTGTTGAGAATAACATCCTTACGAGCGTGCATATGGTTTGTTGAAGACAACATTCACTGGTTACAAGACTAGCGTCTATCTTTTCATTATCAAACCTCTGATCTTCTGTTTCCTGATCATCTCCCACTGACACATAGGCAACATGTTTTCTGTAGCACAAAGAAGGAAGTTTCATTGTTTCATTGTTCTATGTCGGCATGCACTTGCACTTTATTTTCCACATACGTTACTACCGTTATACACACACAGTACAGGAAGTTTTTGAGGCTCGGTTTTCTGTATGCATGTTAAGATGCCATGCATAAGCTATACCGCACACCTACCAAGAAAAAGCATGCATGTAATTACACGTTAGTAAAGCTGAGCTGACATTTAACATGACTGACAGCTGGTAAAGCCGTTTAACCTCAACGGCACACACTAACAAAATAAACTGAGGTAACGATAAACTCCATGCAGAACATTGGCAATGCACAAGTCCAGGTACGTTTGTTTTCCACGAGTCTCCTCTCTGTAGCTGCACAACCTACAAACACATCAAAGTTTCCTGCGGCACATTACTGAATAACGCACAGACCGCCGCTGACTGACCACTCAGGGGTCGTTATTACTGTAAAGCAAAGTCAACGCTTCAGTGCTCTGAGAGACATTTTTTGACGAAGGTGTGTGTGTGTGTGTGTGGGTGGGGGGGAGAGAGAGAGACACAAGCTGGCTCCCCCCAAAACACACACAGCTAGCTGCGGGCTGACGTTAGCGCTGACTGATCAATAACTTATATAAAACAGTTTAAACCAGGGGAGCTTCTTGCATTCAGCACTCAGCCCTGCCTGTCGTTAACGTTACACTGCAGCTAACCAGCAGCCGAGCATTAGATTATTATTCTCTGTGTGTGTTTGAGGGGGGGGGGAGTGTAAACAAACATGGCTAGCGGTTAGCTGGTTAGCGCAACAAGACAAGGGGAGCGAGCTAACTTGCCTCCATTAATTTTCTCCTTTTGTTCGCGGGCTTTGCTCTGAGCTTAGGAGGAGGCCTTGTGTGTTCATATGCTTAACTAGCTCGTCGCTTGGTAAAACACAAACACCCTCGCCTCCCCTACGCCTCCATTGCTCACTCCCTGCTCATCTCGCGGAGAGAAAATAAAAAAAAGAGAAAAAAAAAAAAAAAAAAAGTCTCGGATAAAAAAAAAAAAAAAAAAAAAAGACAGGAGGGGGAAGAAAAAAACGTCGACACCGTTGCCTCTGTTAGGAGACGCAGCTTCATGCAGACTTCCGGCGGTTGGGACGACAGTGCTCTCAGACACACTGAAAATAGCAGATCATTAACAACCGATTAATAACTCCTGGGTTAATTACCGGTGATATCGATCCCCCGTCAACCCCCCGGATCTTCCTCGGGTCGGGACAGTTGGGAAACTTTGTCCAAATCCGCCCCTCAAACACAGATAGGCCTTTTTTTTCTTCGCTTTTTTTTTTCCTTTTTTTCCCTCCAGCTCTCGGCAGAGTCAAGTCAGTCGGATAGTTTAACGGTTGCGCTTCCGGTTGCGTATTTCAAAATAAAAGCCTGTTTTGATTTAAAGCCGCCTGGTTTTAATCAGAAAAGTGTTTTCCGTCCATGATGATAAAAAAAAAAATCTGTTAGTCATGTTGGCAGTATATATAGTCATTATAATGAGGAACTTTCTCAAAATATTGACTCAGCATTTAAAAATATTGACATAGTATCTCCAAATAATGAGAAAGTTTCTTAAAATAATGACTTACTATCTCAAAAATAATGACTCAGTATCCAAAACTAATAAGAAAGTTTCTCAACATTTTGAATTAGCATCACAAAAATAATAATAAATAAATAAATAAAAATAATAAAGTTTCTCAAAGTAATGAGAAAGTTTCTCAAAATATTGAGAAAGTTTCTCAAAGTAATGAGAAAGTTTCTCAAAATAATGACTTAGTATCTCAAAATAATGAGAAACTTTCTCAAAATAATGACTTAGTATCTCAAAATAATGAGAAACTTTCTGAAAGTAATGAGAAAGTTTCTCAAAATATTGAGAAAGTTTCTGCAAGTAATGAGAAAGTATCTCAAAATATTGAGAAAGTTTCTGAAAGTAATGAGAAAGTATCTCAAAATAATGAGAAAGTTTCTCAAAATAATGACTTACTATCTCAAAAATAATGCCTCAGTATCCAAAACTAATAAGAAAGTTTCTCAACATTTTGACTTTGCATCACAAAAATAATAATAAATAAATAAATAAAAATAATAAAGTTTCTCAAAGTAATGAGAAAGTTTCTCAAAATATTGAGAAAGTTTCTCAAAGTAATGAGAAAGTTTCTCAAAATAATGAGAACGTTTCTGAAAGTAATGAGAAAGTATCTCAAAATATTGAAAAGTATCTCAAAATATTGAGAAAGTTTCTCAAAGTAATGAGAAAGTTTCTCAAAATAATGACTTAGTATCTCAAAATAATGAGAAACTTTCTCAAAATAATGACTTAGTATCTCAAAATAATGAGAAAGTTTCTGAAAGTAATGAGAAAGTTTCTCAAAATATTGAGAAAGTTTCTGAAAGTAATGAGAAAGTATCTCAAAATATTGAGAACGTTTCTGAAAGTAATGAGAAAGTATCTCAAAATAATGAGAAAGTTTCTCAAAATAATGAGAAAGTTTCTGAAAGTAATGAGAAAGTATCTCAAAATAATGAGAACGTTTCTCAAAATAATGACTTAGTATCTCAAAATAATGAGAAAGTTTCTCAAAATATTGAGAACGTTTCTGAAAGTAATGAGAAAGTTTCTCAAAATATTGAGAAAGTTTCTGAAAGTAATGAGAAAGTTTCTCAAAATAATGAGACAAGTTTCTCAAAGTATATACAGTATATATGAGATACTAATATTTTTGTAGTTAATGACTTTGTGATACTAAGTCAGTATTAAATAGTAAATGGGCTTCAATAGGAAATAACCAGTGTCTTCAGAATACATTCACCACTAGGATTGGGAAGGTTACAATAAAAATATAATCTGATACAATTATTAGTTACCTGTTTAAAACGTTGCCAGTAACCTAATCGAACCATCACAATATTAAAGTAATGTAACTTGATTACGTTACGTTACTTTTGGATTACTTCAACACTAAATATGCAAATACAGACAAGAGAGAAGAACTATGAATAAGAAGTAGAGATGTAAGTGTATTCTTTAAGACAACAGAACAACCTTAGAAAACAAGATGGAAACAGAAAGAAATGGAAAATGTGTGAAATTGTAATAAAATATTACATTTCTCAATTCCCTTTAGTCTGAGAATATTTCTTAAAATAATATAATGAGTGTCTATTTGACTGCAGTTTGAATTTTGTCTTGTTTGTATGTTAATGCCGGTTATTCTCAGGTAGTTTAAATCTTAATTTTGAAGGAAAATCCTCTTACTTCCTGTAGTAGTTTGGCTTTCTCTAGCTAACTTGACAGAGCTGCCAACGTCCATTCAGTGCCTTCCGGTGTATTAATTACCCGTCAGTGTCTGGGGTTGACTACATTATTATGATTATCAGTTATCTTTGTACATTTTGGTCTTAAATTGTTCATGTTCTTCAGCATAGCACAGTTCTCTAATGGCCACACTTAAAAGGCTTCATTGCTGCAGTGTTCTTGCATCCACAATAGCCTTTTCAAGCACTATTATTTCCATTTGTATTTAATTTATGTCCACATAGACACAATAATGGACCCACTTCTTTTGTCAGCAAACATTTAGCTTCTGGGAAAGAACCAGGGTTGTGTGTAGACGGTCACTAGTTTGAATCCCTGGACAAATAAATAAATAAATAAAGATGCAACAACAGCTTTGGTAAGGCACTGTAGCTGCAACAGAGCTGCTCAGTGCAGACAGTAAAACACTGCAGCTCTCAGGGACGTGCAAATGTGAACCAGACATCTAAAATCAACTTAATGTTCTTTGGCAGATCAATAAAAGCGAAATCTTAAAAATGTTTAGAAAAAAATGTTTATTTGGACCTCGCCGTGCACGTGAAAGCTGTACTTCATGGGGTCCCCGTGAAAACATGATGCAGATACAATTCAAAACACAACTCGCCTTCTGATTAAAATAAAAATGTGAACAAAAATACAAAACCAAGAGCATGCACAACTCAGATGTGTAAACAGAAATACAGCAAAGTAAGACTAACAAGTAAACAGCAGTAGAATATAAGAGTACAGGACGTAAGTGGTTTCCTTTTTGCAATTTAATGACAAGTTTATCGTGTACATGATTATAGAATAACATTTTCCTGCGCAGGTGCACAGACTGTAATTTAAAAGCTTCCATTTTGTCAGAACTTCACCAGCAAACAACAGCAGGAATCGAAATAACAGAAAACTCTACTAAACTGACTACAGCTTAAATACATGTATATAATCAAACACTGACTGGGGCTGCTGTTAGTGAGAGTTAGTAACGGTGACTTGTGAAGCAGATCTTGCTATTGTATCAAATATCAAATATATACTGTATAAATACATTTGTATTCATATGTAGTGCCACTTTAGAGTATTTTTACACTTAAAACATTTTATTACAGAGGAACAAATATCCTGTTTCCCTTTCTATAGCTAACCAATAGGTCATCTCCTCCTACTTTGGTAATTCCACATTAGAGCGTCCTGACTGAAAACATATACTCTGCAAGATTAAATTACAGTTAAAGTGTGACAGGTATCAATGCATGCATAATAACAGTAATACTCATCTTAAAATACATACAATTACCTTCAGAAAGCCATTTCAATACATTTGGCTGTACCGTGATCAGCAGTGCAGTGAACGAAGTCACACACAGACAAACAGTGAGCTATTTAAGCATCATTGAGGAGAAAAAAAAGACTATTCTTGGTTAAATGTAGTGCTTGTAGTAGTGTAGTGATTACACGATTCCTAAGTAGCTTTTGATGCTTTAAAGTGTATGCAGATACAACAGTGACATAAAACATGTTTTGAATATGCAGCCCCGGGTGGGGGGGGTTATGGTGAGGTAGAGGGTGACGGGGTGATAGGGTTAGGGTATAAGGCAAGTTGGAATACTTTTTAGGAACCAACACTTCAGAGTGAGCTCCTAAACCTTCACTAGCATATCGTTCTGGGTGACAGATGCATCGACTCTAAGATGAGAAACTGCTAACATACAATGCACGAGGTTTCCTTACGTATTACATTTAAAAAAATCTAATCTTAAATATTCCTTTCCCTGAAGTACAAGCTGATCACTTGACAATTACAATTCTAACCAAAGTAACTGTTTAGCATCTCGTCCATTTGTCTTCTCATTAGGCTTTCATTTGAAGAACGATAATGATAACATGGTTCAATATTTCAGTACAGTTATCTCATAATTACACTGTGGTTTCCCCATTGCTACGATAGAAGGCTAAAGCTATATTTTACATTTACCTTTAGTTCCACAAGCTACACCTTTATGCTACATAACTGGCCATAATCACAAATGGCACCACTTTGCTTAAGGTATACATCTAGTACAATGTATGGATTATCAGGCTGCAGTGTCACAGGAACCTGAACCAGAAGATCCAGGTCCAAGCTCCTGTTTCGGTCTAGATCTGTTTTGTTTTAGTGCTCTTGAATCCTTATCAGTTCTGGAGCTGACCCTGACCTGTGACCCCACTGTTAATGATGGTATATGTGAATGAATCAATATGAATGCACGTCTAGCAGGCTAACATACAGTCCTATACTGACTTCCTGATTTATTTTTAATTGCCACAAGCCTGTCACTGTGGCTGAAGGCTACTAACAGTTTGTTTTAGTGCCATTTGAAGAGTTTTAAGTATATTTAGGTGATCATCTGGATATTATTGTAAATCGCAATTATTTTGGTCAGGAAAATGCTGATCTACGATGGTCATCACAGCATCAGTTAATCAAAAAATCCGACCGCTTTCAATCTATTACAAATTTCTCTTTTGCTCGACCATGAACTTTCCTCCCAACATCATAATTAACTTTGTCATTACAGTAAGGTTAACAGTAAATTGCAAGCAACCAATACAAAAGGGCTGTGAGGTTTAAAGTGACGATCGCAGTGCTGTGATGATCGATATAAAAATACAAAAACAAACACGTTTAATACAAGTGCTTAGTATAGAACCTGGAGTCAACTAAAGGTTAATGAACATGCTAATATTTCTACATGAAGTGTGGTATAAGTTTCTAATGTTTGGTACTATATAGTGTTGTATGCCTTAAGCAAAGGGTCCTCAAAAAATACTGTCCTCAAAATGTTAACACGGATTCAGCAGGACAAGACTAGAAGACATCAGTAGACATTG